GCAACTTGCTTTATAAAATCAATCATGTTTCATAACCCAGCCAAAGCATGTCAAGAGTTAAAATCAACATTACATTTGCTGATTCAAAATGACGTTCATAGTATTACATAAAATAAGTATAAAATAAAAATATAGTATCTTCAAAATATAAAAATAAATAAATTTTCTTTGTCAATAATTAAAAAATTGAATTTTTTTTCCTTAATTAATTACTATTTAGTGTTGGTTAATCATTGGCACAGCACAATGATATTCTGAGCATTGAGGTCGTAAACCTACGAACCGCAAAAAGACAAAACATAGTAACATTTTCATTTTCTTTTGTTATAAAAATAAAAATAAATAAATAAACTTTGCAAGCTCATCGTCCCGGGGAACCAGCAATAACAGTAGTTGTATGTTTGCTCATTTGATCCCAAAAAAAGCAAACTTCAAGGAGAAAGGAGTCAAAAAAAGTGTTCTTTTTCGACACCCAGATTTCAGGTTCAGGTATTTTGTGCTTTTTTTTCCATCAAATTAAGGTTTCACCTATGTATCGGAATTTTTGCTTCAGAAAAATCTCAGATTAGGTTTCCCTTTTCATAATTCTAGCAAGCCGTGTACAAATCCAACCTCCTAAATATGCTCTCTCCCCCTTTTCTCTATCCTTCTATGGCTTCCATCTTAAATCTGTGTTTTTGTGGTTCATCTCTAGACTCTAGTCTAATAAACTCGGCCAATCATCACAATGTTGCTGCCCCCAACTCAGCCGGTCGCCAGAGTCTTGCTGCTGCTGGAGCAGGGACATGCTGTCATATACCAGCTGCCAGATTCTACATGTTAAGCCTTTCTCATATCAAATTCATGGGCATGTGAGCTGTGCCTCCTATTTTGGGCCACTACTGCTGCCTCTGATCATCTTTCCTAGTTGTCTCTGGTCAGATCCAGGTTTCCTTGCCCCCATTTGGCATTTGCCACCTTCCCATGCCTCTTAAGTGTGTAACTTTAGCAATGTTGAAACTTAGTAAGCTTTAGCTTGAAGATGGGTGTTATAATACGTAGAAAATTCCTATATTACCTTTGTTGAATTTTAGAGTATTGTATTTGATCTATTAATGATTTCCATATCTTGTAATTTGTTTCCTTATTTAACTAGTATTAGGAGTACGCCCTATGTTAGAATAGATGTAGCTCTCGGGTAATGGCATGTAACAGCCAACTCCAAAAATGTTATGTCGAGATAGTGAATAGGGGGTGGCTGTTGTTTAGACATTTTATTCACAGATTAAATAATTTAAACTCTCCATATAAATGCTCACAAATTAAAAGAAAATACTCAATTCAGGACATATTCATAATTAAAATAAAAATCATAGATCTTGTGCCAAACATATAAGTAAATAACGATAAAAGTCAAGGAAATAAACAAGATAATGTTGCAGTGTGGGTGTTGCACAATAGATGGAAGCATGGGAACCTACATCCAAATAGGGATTTTTAAATTTGGAAAAGAGGGAGGGAAATGCCAATGTTGCCCCATATAAAATCCTCCAAACAATACTTTTTTATAGGGCAAAATGAAATTTTTTGAAAAATTTTCACTCTAGTGCTGCTATGGCATTGCTACGGCTGCTGCAATTGCTTTTTCAAAATGAATTTGGACTTTGTAGCGACCCATGGCCACTCCACCCTGCTATTAATAACTATGGACTATAATGAACTATAGATAGTTAGTGGTTAGTACTCTGTATTTGTACGTATCAAATCAATATCAATTTCAGATTAGTTTCTCTTTATTCTTTGTTTTCTGCATTTCCTACCTAAAATTCTATAGTTTCAGTAGATAGGAAGCCCAACTAATGAGAAATTGCATAAATATTTTTTTTTGAGTCATCTAATTCTTAGAGGCACATACTGTCTGGTGTTTGAATGCAATTAAATTTTAGGTTAATTGTGATTCTGTTGCTGATAAAATAAAATCCCATAATAATAATATTGAACACCACTTATGATGTGATCCTTGCATTACATAAATTTATTCAAATAATGTCATTAAGGCAGAATCTGTATGTTAAAGAAACTTGGCATCTACTTGTGATATTACATGTAAGTTCTGTCGATTCTCAACCATTATTTTGCACCTCAGACTATTGTGATTATGTAATAAAATGATACTGTGTAGCAGGTTAGAACTGGACCTCCAGTAAATATAATGGAGCTAACAGTATCATATTTCTTACCTTGTTTTCACTTCTTGTCAACAATCATGTTTCTTTGAGATTTTTGCTGCCATGTCACGACCCTTGCTCCTCGTTCCAGAGCCCACTTGTTCCCAATCACCCACACCACAACTAAGCATAATATAAACAGCAAAACAACGATCCCTTCAACTCTCCTTCCAGTTATCTTTATCAGTTTGGTACCGTTTTTTCCAACTCTCCTAATTTATTAAGATTAATAAAAAATAATTCTATGATAACTTATAAATATTTAGATTTTGAGTAGTAAATATAATAGGATAAAAAATTATAGAATATAGAAGTTAAATAAAGATAGAATAGATAAATAAATGATAAACTCTTGTTATATTTTATGTTTGACATTCTTTAATGTTTGAATTTAATATATTTTTAGATAATTATTTTTTTATTTTTCCTTTTGACTTCTCAATAAAAAAATATATATTAGAAATATATTGATATTAAATTATCGTAATTTTCTTCACTTTTTTTTTTACAATTAGAATTTATTTTGGTAATAAAATATAATTAAAACAAAAATTATTTATAAAAAATGAAAATAATATTTATTAAAATTATATTTTTAAAAACAGTATTAAGATAAACTCTAGACAACATTTGAGTTGGCGTATGGTTAGAGTGGAAAGATCATTGCCTGGGACCATTGGGGTTATTTTTATTCCCTAGCCATTTCTGAGCCCCAGTTAATAAAACCGTTTTAAAATTGATTAGTGCTGTATGATTACATAAGTTCTAGTACATTGCTTGGTGAAGAAGTTCACAAATATATTTTTTGGAGTTTATTAAAAATTATGGTAAAAATATATTAATAGAATTTTTCAATACAAAATTTCCAGTTCTGATAGAGGACATTTAATAATATTTTTTATTCACAAATAAAATTTTAAGCACTCAACTAAATAAAACAATCCTGCTTTAAGGATTATTTTTTTTTATATATAATTTTTATAAATTATATATATATGATATTTTTTGAAAAATTATGAAAATTTAAAATTTAAAAATTGACAACAATTTATGATGTAGATACAAAAATTTTAAATTTAAAAATTAAAAAAAATTAAAGTTTCAGAAGTTGTGAATGATGTTTTTTAAAAATATATTAAAGAATATTTTAAAAAAAACTTCTCAAAATAAATTTTTTTAAAAATTAATTTTATGTTTGATATTTTTTTTATCATATCAACAATAATATTATCTATACATAAATTAATAAATTATTATTATTATTTTAATAGATTATCATATCAAATTAACATTACCTAAAAATTAATGTATATCATAATTTAATATGTATCGAATAAAATAAAATAATAAATTATTATTATTATTATTTTGAGATGACAGATACTTTCATCTTTTTCGATACCTAATAATCTAGAAAATTGATATTGAAGTGAAGGGACGTAGGTATTGATGAGAGAGAATAATGAGAATGAAAAAGTAAAAATGGGTGCTGGCAAGTGTTTTTGGACAGGTCACATGGTTGGATTGTCTCGTTATACATGTCAATAAGACGCACACCATAACAAAGGTCTCTCATCCGTCTAACAAACAATCATGTGCCCATACTTATATTTAATAAAAAACATAAATGTAAATTTTAAATATTTATATTTATTAATTAATTTTTTAAGTTATTTTAATAATGTGCAATAAAATTAAAAATATAATTTTAATTAATGAATACTAATAATAACACATAAAGAAAAATATAAAATTGTATCTTAATTAACATGTACACGTGATTAATTTATAAAATTATAATATTTTTATTATGATTTTTTTACGTGATAGAAGCATACCAGAATTTATGTACTTTTTTTACCTGTCCAAAAATACAGTTATTTTTTTTTTATTCTCCTTTGTCAATCTCACACATCTCTTAACTCTAATTTCTAATTTTTTTAAAATTCAATCAAATTTATATTTAATTTTTAATTATACATTATCAAAAAATATGAGACAATAACAGTATCAATTATTCTAAAATAATAATTTATTAAAATAATAATAAAATTTATTATTATTTTATTTTATCTGACACACATTAGCATTAATTTTTAAATAATATTAACTAATCTAAAATGATAATTTATTAAAATAATAATAAAAATTTAATATCATCTGTATAAGAATATTATTGTTGACATAAAAAAATATAATTATATTTTAAAAATAATTTAAAAAAATATTATTTAAGAAAAAAGTCCAAAAGTTATCGTATTTTTAACTAAAATTTATAAAAATATTATATACTTTTTGAATTTTAAAAAAATCATACATGAAAAAAGAGCGGGTGTTTGAAAATAATTATCTTCTCAGCTGGTCATCTATTTTCTTTCGTTGTCAGAGTATTAAATGACAAAAAATATGATGGAGGTGGATCCAATTCATTGGAGAAACCGAGGTAAGAATCTCCAGCTATTCTTGTTCTTAGATTCAACCTTTCTCTTCTCTAGGAACTCATTAATTAGTTAATTTATCTAGAGAACATATTTATACGTAACTTTGTACAGTTTCTTTTATAACATCGAGAAAGATAAAAGAAAAAGACGAGTATAACTTTAGGAAAAACCAGAACCGATGTATAAAATGTCTATTTAAATATACAGACACTGTACGAAGTAGTTGAACATAATCGTTATCACGTGCAAGGTATGTGAAAGCAACCTCAACTATTGTTAAAAAATCAATAAATTTATTAAATGAAATAAGCTCTTAAAATTTTGTAGGTTTCGTGTTGTCAAACCTACCTCTTTTTATGTGAAACAGTGTTTATGGTTTTAAAGAGAGAAGGGTTGAGCAGGAAATTGTGTGTTGAGAACTGAGAAGCCGAAAGCAGAAGAAAGAAACATGTCTCTTGATCCTTTGGTCCATGTGGCTCTCTTGCCCAGTGCTGGAATGGGCCATCTCACACCATTTCTGAGGTTAGGTGCTACGCTTCTCCACCAAAATTGTCATGTCACCCTCATCACTCCTCAACCTTCAGTTTCAAAAGCTGAATCAGAACTCATATCTCGGTTCCTCTCAGCATTCCCTCAAGTAAATCAACTCAAGTTTCATCTTCTTCCTTTTGACGGAGACATTTCCGTCAACGACCCTTTTTTCATTCAGTTTGCAACTGTTCGTAGCTCCTCACACCTTCTACCTCCTTTGCTTGCCTCGGTTTCACCACCTTTATCTGCTTTTATCTATGACATGACGCTTATTACCCCTCTTCTTCCTATTGTTCACACTCTTGCCGTACCTCATTACATCTTATTCACTTCTTCAGCTGCCATGTTCTCTCTCTTCTCTTACTTCCCTACTGTGGCTTCATCTGGTGTTGATGATGCTGTTGAGATTCCAGGGGTCTTAACCTTACCTAGAACATTGATCCCTCATTTTCTTCTGATCCCTGACCACCCCTTTGCTAAAATTTTCATGGAAGATGGTCCTAAGGTCACCAAAACACATGGGGTTTTCATCAACAGTTTTGAAGGAGTAGAAGCACAGTCTCTTGAGGCTCTTAATGGTGGGAAAGTGGTGAAAAATTTGCCGCCAGTTCATGCAGTTGGTCCTTTTGTGCCTTTTGAGTTTGAGAAGCTTGCCCAAAGGGAAGCACCAATATATAGCTGGCTTGATGATCAGCCTAGTGGATCTGTGGTGTATGTTAGCTTTGGAAGCAGAATAGCCGTGGGAAGGGAGCAAATGAGAGAGATAGGAGATGGGTTGGTGAGAAGTGGATGTAGATTTTTGTGGGTGGTGAAGGATAAGAAAGTTGATAGGGAGGAGGAAGAAGGGTTAGAAGCGGTGTTGGGGCTTGAGCTTGTGGAGAGGATGAAGGAGAAGGGATTGGTGGTGAAAGAATGGGTGGAACAAGGGAAGATTCTAGAACACAAAGCTGTGAGATGGTTTGTGAGTCATTGTGGATGGAACTCAGTGATAGAGGCTGCATGGTATGGTGTGCCAATCATGGGGTGGCCTCAGATTGGAGATCAGAAGGTAAATGCCGAAGTGGTGTCAAAGGGAGGGTGGGGTATGTGGAAGAGAGAGTGGGGTTGGGAAGGAGAAAGATTGGTAAAAGGGGAGGAAGTTGGAGAGGCCATAAAAGAGTTGATGAGTGATGAATCTCTTGTGATCAAAGCTGAACAAGTTAAAGAAGCTGCAAGGAAGGCCATCAGTGTAGGTGGTGGATGCCTAGTTACTCTTCGGACACTAACTCAAGAGTGGAAGAAGAATGGTAAGAACATTTGAGAGTCAATGATGTTGAATTTGGCAGTTCAATAAGAATTAGGACCCTTTGCTGATTCCATTTGCATTAATAATACTGAAGACATTGTTAAGACAATAAACAAAGATGGTGACTTTTTTTCTTCCTCTTTCTCCCAACATTTTGTTCTTTCTATTCATCTAGTGACTGTAGGTGAAGGGAAAAAATAGCACTTGGTTATTTATTATTCATTTTTATCACTTATTTTGTCTCGTATACTTTTTACCCTCTCCTTATCTATTGATATTATAAAATAGGTTGAGTCATGTGAAAACAACGTTACCCCGAAAAAAACATTTGGAGAAAGGAACTCAACTACTAAACTAGTTCTCAAGCACGACTAGTATACTAAACAGAAGGTAGTTCTCTGCATTTTCAAAGAGGGAACTTGTAAATTGGAATGTTGTATTCCATGTTTTGTTTGCATGAAGTTGATAAGAAAATACATGTAAAAAGGTAGACGCCATATTATCAGGAGCCATAGTTGTTTGGTTTCATAATTGACCAAAAGAAAATGGAGTTGCGGATGGAACACGTTATTAAATGATCTTCGATTAATCACCACAAGTTGCTGACAGAGGTGTCAATTTCCCATTCTACGTTACGTTTCTTGCTTTATTTTATATGCATTATTAATTGACTCTAGTGTTCGCCCCTGACTAATGACTAGACATAGAGAGAGAGAGGGACACAAAAATTAAATTACACCCCACTAAGTAAGTTACATATATATGTATATTATTTAATAGTTTTATTAAATATTTTGATTTAAAATTAATTATTAGAATAATTTATTAGTCATATAAATTATATGTATAAAATTTTAAATTAATGTCAAATTATTTAATATATATTTTTAAAAATATATAAATAATTTTTTTTAATTGCATCATTATTTATTAAATTTTGACAAAATCTAGTGCAAATAATCGAAATAACATATATATATATATATATATATATATATGCTTTATAGGATAATTTTTCAAAAAAGTAAATTAGTTACAAATTTAAAAATTCATTACAAGTTAATTATGTTTTAGTGAGTATTTATAAATTTGAGATTGAATGAATTAAAATTTATATAATTAATTTTATTAAAATATAAATTTAAAATAATGCAATTTATATTTAATAGTTTTTTTAAGTAAGTTTATAATAAATATCAATATAAATATTTGTAACACAAAAGTTAATTTTTATTATGAAAATTTTAATATGAATTTAAAAATAAAATTAATTTTAATTAAAAAATAATCAAACATCAACTTTTTTATGAAATCACGTTATAACGGTGAAATCAACATTATTTTGTATTATTTTAACAAACATTCAAGCATACTTGTGAAAAAAAGGTAAAAACTACGCTAATGTGTCAATTAATTGAATTAAATATGGTTGATAAAAATATTTTTTTTAAACTATCTAGTTAGTGTAAAATGACATGATTACTTAATTATAAATTAAAATTTATTTTTTTAAAAATTATCACTTTTATACTTAAAGTTATTTTAAAAAAAATTATCACCTTAAAAATTAAGACAGGATTTAAAATTTTTATTCTATTTTTAAAATTTGTATTGAATGAAACAGGATAATACAAATTAATTTATATTATATTTTAATGATTTTATTTTGTATAAAATAATATTTAATAATTTTGTTGAATCCTTCTCAATAGCATAGGCATTTATTGCTTTGAAAGCGAATGATGTTTTAGCAATTGTTTGTTTGATAATGTCCTGTGATGTTTTTTTTAATCATTTTAATAAAAATATATATTCTAACTGAATAAACTTATATTTTGTGAAAAAGAAAATAATTATTTTTATATATTTAATTAAATGTTAAATATAATTATTTTCAACTAATTTTTATTTTATTTTTTAATATAGATAATTTTTATTAAAAATAAAATAAAAAGTGAAATAATTAAAATAAATTATACAGTATCAAAAAATAGTTTAAAAGGTAAAATTCCACAATGATAAATAGTGTGTCAAGATTTTTTGCAAAAAATTATCAAGCATGAATTATGATAAAATAAAGAGAATATAATTAAATGAAAAATAAAATGTTAAGGAATTGTAAGCTTCTTCTTTTTTTTTTCTTTGTTGGTCTAAATGGCTTATAAGCCTAAACGCTACTTTAAATTGGATTTCAAAAATTGAGTTTAATACAATAGATGATGTATTTAAACGCAAGATTGTAGCTTATAAGGGTTTATGTTTATGAAGTTTAGTTATACATTTAAAATCTTCAACGAATTTTCAGTTGGGGGGGGGGGGGGCGCAAAGTTGAATTTGGAAGTAGCTAATCAAGGTAACTTTTGTACTGAATTTGAATATCTTATACTAAATTTTATTAGTCAAAATACATATCACCATATATCTTTTTTAATCATTTTTATAAAAAATAAATAACTAATTTATTGAAATTATAAAAGTATTTAAATATATTATAAATGTATATTTATTTTAAAAATACTCATAATATTAAACAGTTAAATTAATAATTTATATATTATATTACTAAATTTATGTACATGTATTAGCAAAATAAAAATAAAAATACAGCTATATGGATAAAAGAAATACACGAGTACTTTAATAACACAATTATCACAATAACACAAGGCTATAAAAAGTTTAAGTAATTAACATATTTTAAAATAATTTTATATTTCTTATAATTTAAAAAATACTCTTATATAAGTTTTCTTATAACTAGCATGATTGGGAGTAATAAATTAAGTCTGTCTGTATTTTTTTATATTGAAAGAAAATACCTAAATATAAAATTTTAAGAAAAATTAAAAAATGAGAAATTAGTAAAAATTACCTACAAAAATTCTTTAGCAAAAATTTTAACATTTTTTAATAATTTTTTAAAAAATTGACAATCCTTAGTAATTTAAAATTTTTTAATTTTTTTTGAAAATTCACTAATGAATTTTTAGTATTACAATTTTTTTTAGAATTTTAACTGTTTGATCTTGCACTTCTCGTATTTTTATAATTTTTTTCTAAAATTTATTATTTCAGTATATATTATTTTTAAATATTATATAAAAATAAAAAAACCTCTCTAGGGTGATTTGATTTTTTATATTTTTGTTAGAAGTATATCCCAATCCAAGTTTAGCACTAACAAAAGTGAGAGTGGGGCCAAACTTTTTGAGTACAGAATGAAGCAATATCACCCTTGTGTTTATTCTCTCCCTTATCTCCATAGATAGTAGTTGAGAAGGGAGAAGCCAATTATGGGTTCATCTTCACTCCCATCTTTCATTCAGATGCCATCAACACATTCCAGCTTCAGTGAAAAACATAGCAGCCCTCAAAAGAAGTTTCAAGTTAGGATACCTAAAAGAGACACACAGTTTTCTTGGTCTTTTTCTTCTCGTCCTTATTGCAAAGTTCTTCACGAATCAATTCCTTTGGCTGCTTCAATTGCAATTCTTCTTTGGTCAACCCCTGGTACCTACTCCATGTGTTTTAATGTAGCATACAGTTCCAGTTTGTTGTGTTGGTTGGAGTTTCATTGGTTATAAACATGCTAATCACTAACTAAAAGCTTTAGCATTTTCTTATTTTACAGCACATGCTGGGTTCATGTCAGGAATTTCTGGATTAGAGTCAATTCCTGGTCCTCAGCTACCTCAGATTGACTTTCTCAAACGCCTAAATGGTTTTAACTTTTAAGCTATTTTTATGTTTTTTGTTTTCCAGCATTTTCAACAAGTTGAGATTTTGGGAAGCTCAATTTGGTTCCTTTTTACTATTATTGTTTTACAGAAGAAAATCAGAAGAAATATGCTGAGAGTGATGCAAGACTTCAATCATCCCCCTTGCTGAAGAAACTGCTTGAGCAATCCAAGTTGAATAAAGAGAAGTAATTTTTTTTAACCATGTGTGTATTGTTTGCACGAGGAGATCTAAGAAAATACTCTCTAATTTACTCTTTTCACTCTCTTCCTTAATGGTCAAAATTTATTAAAATAAACAGTAACAAGTGTGTTTAAAAGAATGTATCAATGAATGAGTGCTGTTAGCATTTCCTTTTTTCGCATTTTCAAAACCTTAGGATTTTGCTATGTATTACACATGGTTAATGTCTTGTAATGATAGTAATGACTGTTATTTTTAATAAATTTTCTGAATCTATTATCTGAATGGTACTATAACATTTGCTTTTATTACTTAATCTTCAGGAACCGTAAAGAAATTGAAAACAAGTACTGCATACGTGGGGCAGAATGGGGAGTTGGGGATTGTTCAGCAGAGGGAATGTCTCCAGAGGAGAGGGAGAAATTCATAGCAACGTTAAAGCAGAAGGCTGCACAAGAGTAATATAATGCCATTAGAGCATAGAGAAAGAAAAGGTTTCATATAAATTATGAATAGGTGCAAATTTGACATTTGGAATGCCACTAGGTGAAGGAACAAATAAGGCCTCTTGCAGAGTTTCAAAATTTTGTTTTTGAACCCATTACACGTGATTTGTTTATGTATTATTTAGAAAAGAACGTTTATGCATCTACTTACTTTCCCAGTTTATATAGTTTCATTTTTTCTTTCCCATATCTACTTGTATTACTACTCTTGTGCAGAAGCTTCATCTGAACTGAATAGACTGTTGGTATAGAATTTGATAAGCATTCCAACAACAATGGAAACATATCAAATGACACCACGTTATATAAAGCAAACTAAGAGTCTAGGAAGAGCAACATTACACAATGGGAAATATAAAGAAAAAAGTTCAACTCAATGATTTTTTATGAGCATTTACTGTTAAGAAATATTAGTAATACACTTTTTAAATATATTTTTATTGTTAGTTATAATTTCTTATAAATTAAAATGAATCATATTTATAATTTAATGAGTCTTATTTATATTTATATAGTTTTTAACAATTTTTTGTTAATAATAAATATGTTAAAATTGTGTTCTAAGATTACTCTTCAATGTATAGTCAGTCCATTATACGTAGTGGTAGTAATATCAGCTAACTCAAACTCCAATTCAAGGGCAAAAGGGTACGCAATTAGGCCACAACAATCAACAATTTACTGGCCATTATCACTGGGATTTATTTATAGGGTAGAATATTACTTGTGTTTGGTAGAAAACACATTGAAAAATTCAATAACATATATTCAATATAAAAACTAAAATTAATAATGTCAAAATAAACATAAATCTATTTACATTTTAGCATACAACCAAACACACTACTTTCTTTCCTTCTCAATTGTTCATGACTTGATGGCTTGGGGTTTTGGGCTTTCTGAAGAGCCCATTTAAGTTGTGGGCACTTTTGCTTTCTCTATCACGTTCATTGGCATTGAAATGGGGTTTATTTCATGTTGTTTGGTTTGCATATATGGTAATGGTAGGCACTAATCTTTATCATCACAGTAAAAAAGTATTGGTTATGTACAGAAGAATCATGTTGAACTGATTTTCTCGCCTTTGCTTTTGTTTTGTTTCTCCTCCTTCAATTCAAGTAGGCTTCGTTAATTGTGCATTTTATCTGGATCTTATTTGAAACTGCTCCAAATATTGTATTTGTTATTTTCCTATTGGACTCAAAACTCTTCCTTGACTTAATTATAAATATTGATTATATATATCACGATTAAATAAAAAAGAAACATCAGCTAAACAATGCTAAATTGTTAAAGCACGTTAAAATACCTAGGATCGAAAAAAATGTAATAATTTACCCCAATACTAGAAAACATGAAAATGATAATTTTTTTTTTATAAAAATATTTAAGATAACAAAATATATGGTATTAAAGCAACTTGCTTTATAAAATCAATCATGTTTCATAACCCAGCCAAAGCATGTCAAGAGTTAAAATCAACATTACATTTGCTGATTCAAAATGACGTTCATAGTATTACATAAAATAAGTATAAAATAAAAATATAGTATCTTCAAAATATAAAAATAAATAAATTTTCTTTGTCAATAATTAAAAAATTGAATTTTTTTTCCTTAATTAATTACTATTTAGTGTTGGTTAATCATTGGCACAGCACAATGATATTCTGAGCATTGAGGTCGTAAACCTACGAACCGCAAAAAGACAAAACATAGTAACATTTTCATTTTCTTTTGTTATAAAAATAAAAATAAATAAATAAACTTTGCAAGCTCATCGTCCCGGGGAACCAGCAATAACAGTAGTTGTATGTTTGCTCATTTGATCCCAAAAAAAGCAAACTTCAAGGAGAAAGGAGCCAAAAAAAGTGTTCTTTTTCGACACCCAGATTTCAGGTTCAGGTATTTTGTGCTTTTTTTTCATCAAATTAAGGTTTCACCTATGTATCGGAATTTTTGCTTCAGAAAAATCTCAGATTAGGTTTCCCTTTTCATACAACTTGAGATTCAATTCTTTTATTTGTTAATGCATTTTCACCCTGACTGCCAGAATATGATAATTGAAGAAATGGGTTACCGTTTAAATTTATTTTGGAATCTCATATCTAGTTATTGTTGGTTTGAAAGGAAAGTTCTTATTGTTGAGGTTGTGGTGATTGTATTATAGTTGAGGTGTGAATTTTGGATTGTTGATGTGCTTTTATAGTGATTGTGGGACTTGGAACGGTAATTAGGAACCTCAACAAGAGGATTGGTGCTGTTGATAGGAATTCCTGAAATGTATAGGCCTGTGGCTACTTCAGATTCAGCCACGCCGCGGGGTGGATCGGCTAATGACAGTGGGGACTCGGTTGTGACTTTAGATCAAGTTCCAAGGTGGATTGATGCTGAGCTTTCCATAGGTTATGACAATGGAGATTCCTCATTTTCTACTTCAAGCTTCCCTGATCCCTTGACATTCAACTCGGGAACGGAGGGCGGCAGTGGTTGTTCAGTGTCAAGGTTTCCTGTCAACCATGAAATTAATTCGAGGATATATTTGTGGAGGGGGAACCCCTGGAACCTTGAAGTGGATGCTGTGGTAAATTCAACAAATGAGGTGAGTGGTATATATATAATTTATATGCTTTTGCTTAGTATTACCTTTGGTCCTTTTTATAAGAAACAAAACTGAGCATTTTCTTGATCCTTATTATAAAAAACAAATGATAGATTTAAGATGTATTAATTACTAAATTTCTTTTATATTTTTCTTTTATTAGTATCATTAAATATATAAATTACTAACTGCACCATTTAATATCATGAGTATTCATGAAATTAAATTTATATTTATGAAAAATATAACTGACTTAATTACTTTCCTAAGTCTTAGTGATTTAGTCTTTTGTTTCTTATAAAAAGGACCGGAAGTAGTATTATTGTTTACTTTTTCCTTCATATATTTATACATTTTGGTTTAACTTTTTCTGGTTGGTAATTGCAAAGTTGTAATTGTTTTCAGCGTGTTGTTTTCTATCTTTTTACTACTATTTATGTAGTGCAAGCCAAAAAAGGACAATAGGACCACGTGAAGGACCTTACAGTTCTTTAGTCAGATGTTTCTACTCTTGAAGACAATTATATTGTCAGTTAACTATTTTGATAAATTATTATTTTCCCACTCTTTTGAAGTTGAAGCCCAACCTCTATCTTGATAATCTTTGTTGCGGTGCCAATGGTGATTCAATCTGCTTCAGATTGCATTATTTTTTGTTGTGTTTCGCTTTCTTCATTCTTTATGAGATAATGATCCATAAGGACTCCTAGGGAACAATTTGCACTACAAAGGAACCAAAGTGGTTGTTCTGTTATATAAAGCAATTGTTTTCTTCATGAACACATTCTCAAATTTGTTATTTTGCATGCATGCATGCATCCTTCTTTTGGAACAGGCCTTGATAATGTTAGAATAATATCTAGAAAATATCTCATAATATATTTATCTCATAATATCATAGATGATCTCTTGTCTCTGAAGATTGGTTTCTATTTTTCATTATATTTTGTTTGCTTGTTTAGTTAGAATTAAGAGTCTAATATCAGTATAAATGGGGTCAGTGCTTTGTATTACATCCAATCAATATCAATTTCAAATTATTCAGTTTTAAATCTCTCTTTTCATCCTTTCCTACCTATAATTTCAACATGGTGTCTAAATAATACAATCCCTCATGACCTTTCCCATCAGTATTTTGCTGTCAAGTTCCCTAAAACCTAGATATGTCATTATCCATGATTCTTTCTTTCTAGCTAGCCGTGTACAAATCTGACCTCCTAAATATGTTCTCTCTCCCTTTTCTCTATCCTTCTATGGCTTCCATCTTAAATCTGTGTTTTTGTGGTTCATCCCTAGGCTCTAGTCTAATCAACTCGTCCAACCATCACAATGTTGCTGCCCCCAACTCAGCCAGTCGCCAGAGTCTTGCTGCTGCTGGAGCAGGGACATGCTGTCATATACCAGCTGGCAGCTGCCAGATTCTACATGTTAAGCCTTTCTCATATTAAATTCATGGGCATGTGAGCTGTGCCCCTATTTTGGGCCACTACTGCTGCCTCGGATCATCTTTCCTAGTTGTCTCTGGTCAGCTTCAGGTTTCCTTGCCCCCATTTGGCATTTGCCACCTTCCCATGCCTCTTAAGTGTGTAACTTTAGCAATGTTGAAACACTTAGTAAGCTTTAGCTTGAAGATGGGTGTTATAATACGTAGAAAGATCCTATATTACCTTTATTGAATTTTAGAGTATTGTGTTTGATCTATTAATGATTTCCATATCTTGTAATTTGTTTCCTTATTTAACTAGTATTAGGAGTACGCCCTATATTAGAATAGATGTAGCTATTAATCTCGGGTAGTGGCATGTAACAGCCAACTCCAAAAATGTTATGTCGAGATAGTGAATAGCGGGTGGCTGTTGTTTAGACATTTTATTCACAGATTAAATAATTTAAACTCTACATATAAATGCTCACAAATTAAAAGAAAATACTCAATTCAGGTCATATTCATAATTAAAATAAAAATCATAGATCTTGTGCCAAACATATAAGTAAATAACGATAAAAGTCAAGGAAACAAACAAGATAATGTTGCAGTTTGGGTGTTGCACAATAGATGGAAGCATGGGAACCTACATCCAAATAGGGATTTTTAAATTTGGAAAAGAGGGAGGGAAATGCCAATGTTGCCCCAAATAAAATCCTCCAAACAATACTTTTTATGGGGCAAAATGAAATTTTTTGACAAATTTTCACTCTAGTGCTGCTATGGCATTGCTACGGCTACTGCGGTTGCTTTTTCAAAATGCACTGCAATTTGGACTTTGTAGCGACCCATGGCCACTCCACACTGCTATTAATAACTATGAACTATAATGAACTATAGATAGTTAGTGGTTAGTGCTCTGTATTTGTCCGTATCAAATCAATATCAATTTCAGATTCTTTTGTCTTTATTCTTTGTTTTCTGCATTTCCTACCTAAAATTCTATAGTTCCAGTAGATAGGAAGCCCAACTAATGAGAAATTGCATAAATATTTTTTTTTTGAGTCATCTAATTCTTAGAGGCACATACTGTCTGGTGTTTGAATGCAATTAAATTTTAGGTTAATTGTGATTCTGTTGCTGATAAAATAAAATCCCATAATAATAATATTGAACACTTATGATGTCATTAAGGCAGGATCTGTATTTTAAAGAAACTTGGCATCTACTTGTGATATTGGAAATTGACTTACGTATAAGTTCTCTCAATTCCCAACCATTATTTTGCACCTCAGACTATTGTGATTATGTAATAAAATGATACTGTGTAGCAGGTTAGAACTGGACCTCCAGTAAATATAATGGAGCTAATAGTATCATATTTCTTACCTTGTTTTCATTTCTTGTCAACAGATCTTGGATGAAGCACACAGCAGCCCTGGGCTGCATGCTGCAGCTGGACCTGGTCTTGCAGAAGAATGTGCAACTTTGGTATAGTTCTTATAAATTTATTCAGCAAAAATGTTTTGTTGGGCTATGATGGCCGCATTACATTGTTATTGTGGTTCAACAATTCACAAAATGGCATGCCAGGAAATGGCTTTCTGGACATGATATATAAATATGATGATATGATTGATATCACATATCTTTATTTTTGACAGGGTGGATGTCGAACTGGGATGGCTAAAATTACCAATGCCTATGATCTTCCTGCAAGGTTTGTACATTGGTCCCCCATTTTTTGTTTTTTCAAAGTAAAAAAGTAATTGTCGCCGTTTACCCCATGGAAAGATCAGTGCCACTATGCAATCACTGTTTACTTTATTCGTTGTCATGCTGCATAAATTATATTAATATATTCTGCCCTTTATTACTGGCTTATATTTCTTTTTCAGTTGCATCTTACTCTCTTGGTGAGAAGTTAGATTCCTAGTATATGATATTTTATACCTTTAATGAATTTCTGGCAGGAAAGTTATCCATACTGTTGGCCCAAAGTATGCCATGAAGTACCATACTGCTGCAGAGAATGCGTTGAGTCATTGCTATCGTTCCTGCCTGGAACTTCTGATTGAAAATGGGCTTAGAAGGTTTTTGTTCTTTTCTTGCCAAATGTTATATAGTTTTTGTCTTGAAACAGTTTGTATGGGCATCCTCCATGCAACTTCAAAGATCTAAAACTTGCTTTTTGTTTGGCATATATTGATGCAGCATAGCTATGGGCTGTATATATACAGAGGGAAAGAACTATCCCCGTGAGCCAGCTGCACATGTAGCTATAAGTGAGTTTTTCCCTTATAATTTTACAGTCTATATGGATTATTGTGATATTTATTCTGACCTGATAATACAGGTTAACTTTGACAATTTTATAGGAATTAAATTTTCCTTCTTTTGGAGATATATTACTTTGTGTTGTTCCATCCATACAGAAAATAATGCCAAAAACAAGAAAAATAATATGCTGAATATATCTTTAATAGAGAGAGGAAATCTATCATTGGGGGGAAGGAGAGAGGAAGAAGATAGAATGACAAGGCATACTCTCACTTCTTCATGTTGATGATCAATTATTTGCTGTTTGCTTAATTTAATTATCTGTCTTACTAAATGCAGTTTAGATTGGTGATCAGGGGGATGACAAGGTGCAACATAAGTAGGAAGATAGATGTATGTTTAGCTTCATCTTTTTGTGTATAATTCTACCATTTTATACAGTTAACAATACTCATTTCATGCCATTCCTTTCCATTTCAGTTAAATCAGTTTTCACATCCTTAGATATCCTCACATAACTGCTGAATTTAGAAGGGGATATTTTGAGAGAGAGAGAGAGAACAGAATCTTTTAGAGAGAATTTAGAGAATGAAAAGCTCTCTTATTCAAGGAAATTGAAGTACATCGGTTCTTCATATCATCCATATATGTTGTCCCATAACTTAATGGACATAATGGATACTATTTCCTCAGCTACTAATTTCCTAGACACTAATACCCATGAGTACTAAATGCATTTTATCATGTGATACATGAACATACTATTGCTAAAGTGCACTTACTATTATTTCCAACAATAACCTAGACACTAATACCCATGAGTACTAAATGCATTTTATCATGTGATAAATGAACATACTATTGCTAAAATGCATTAACTTCTATTATTTCCAACAATAACCGCAAGGTGTTTAATCATGCTTATGCTGAACAATATATTTTTATGTTGAAAACTCTTTTCTGATTTTGATGTATAATATATTTTTATCAGGCTTCTACATCTGGTATGATTTTAGATTTTTTTCTCTAATGTGTTTTTCTATTCAGGAACTGTACGGCGGTTTCTTGAGAAGCAGAAAGACAATATAACAGCTGTTGTCTTTTGCACTACTAGTACAACTGATACTGAGATATATAAAAGGTAATTTGTTTCTCTGCTATAGATACTGGCAATATTTTAAATGAAATAAACTTTTCAAAAGTTACCCCAGTTTGTTTATTTTCTTCTCAATTTTTATTGGTGTATTATTTATTCATTCTTACCCTTTATATTAATTCCATGTAGATTGCTTCCACTCTACTTTCCTCGGGATAAGCATGAGGAGGAGATGGCTTTGTCAAAACTTCCTGCAGATGTTGGGGATGAGAATGGTGAGACCGTCATAGATGAACGTAAAATCAGAATAAAGCCTTTGCCTAAAAACAATGATTTGAAACCTCCTAAAGCTTCAGTTGATCTTCCTGTTAGTGATGTTGGCTTGCTTCGCAGGTCAGTAAATTTTTAATATGAGGTTTTAACATATATCTATATTTCTTTCTAGATTGCTCAGCATGTTTTTACTCTAACAGTGTTCCACTTTGCAGACACATATATAGATGTGTATTACCAATCTAGATATAGATAAATAGTAGATTTCCCAGGATCTGAATATATAATCTACTAATCTAGACTAAAACCGTACATTAGTTGTTGTCACTTTCACTTTATTTTAGCCATCTATCAATATAGTTATTTGGGACTTGCTATTAGAAATGATATGACATTGTTATGATTGACAAGACAGTTTGACAGATATGTCTTGATGAAATACATCTAAAACAACATTGTTTCATTCTTCACTTGCCATTACAAACATGGGATTTTTCAAAAATTTCAAATGGAAAATGGTGAATGAAACAATGTCATTTTAGATGCAATCATTCAGTCATCTTCTGTCAAACTGTCATATTTGCAGATAATGATGTCATGCCATCTCTAACAGTGATATATTAGTATTTTTGTTTATTAAGCAACAGGTTGGTACTGGGACTAAATTGAAAAAAATGGAAATGTCAATGACTAAAATAAGGATGAAAGCAAATGTCAGACCAAAATATGGTTTTGATCAACAATCTAAAATTCGTTGTTGCAAGTTTACAATGCTACTGTGCATCATCTAAGCATTATCAACAGAAACAAAGATTTCTTACTTGTTTGAATGCTCCCCCCAAATATATTTTTGTTTGGCAATGAAAAGAATAGCCAAAAGTTACTTTTCCATTTCCCCAAACTTTTTTGTATTGTAAACCAAACAAGCACTTAAAAATCACTCTCTTTGTGGATTTATGTTTCTATTCCACAGTATTAATCCATTGGCATTATTTTCTTGAACCTTTTTCATTGTATTTGACTAAACAGGCATCATCCATTTTTAAAGTTTTTCTTGTAGAATTTTTCTGATTAATGTGGCTTTTATAGGACTTCATCATATTTAGATTCTTTTCTGGATCCTGCCTTCATGTCTTTGATTAAAGACCCTGATGAAAGACGTCTGGAGCAGTGGGAGAAAACTGTTCAAGCACAAAGAGGCTGGAATTTTGCTAAATTGCTTGGATTGGGTGACTTAGGTGCACCTCCACTGTCTGCAGCCGAAGAATATTCTCTGCACTCTAGATATCTTTCTAAAGCAAAATCCTTAAACCTGTCTGAAATTGCCGAAATGAGAATTGTGTGAGTGTTCATCCAATTCATTATCTGTGTTATGCACAACACAGGGATATTTATGTATTTCATTGTTTGGATTTTTAGAATTGAAGAAAAATATGTTTGGCTAACCAGTCTGCACATGCATACATTTATATTATGTATGGTGTTAATCATAAGAGAAATCATCTCCAAAATTAGAGCTAATCAACACTAATCACCAATGAGGCAGTAATAATATATAATACTACTCATTATACATGTGCTAAATTCTAACAGGATTAGTAAAATTATAGTTGATGTTTGAAAATTTACTGGGTTGAGAAATTTCTGTCATTTGGGCAAGAGACGAGGTGAGTATTTGAGTAGTAAATTCTTCAATCCTTTTTGTCCTTTTCATCAACTAGCCTGGAGACATATGCTGTGATGCAGTGATAGTAAGACAGTCCTGTAATGATGAAATGATTTTATTTTGTGGAAGAAAAAGAAATGTTGTCGCTGGTTAAGTCTAGTTGTTATGAGATTTCAATCGTAGATAAACAAATAACAAACATTTTGCTCTTTAAAATTTTCCAATATTCTTTCCTTTCTTCACCATTTAATATTTCATTTAATTTCAGAGTGTTCAGATTGATATTTCATGCATGTTTTCAGATTGATGTTTCATTTAATTTCAGAGTTATGTATGTCTTACAGCTATCGTGGAGGTGTAGACAGTGAGGGTCGTCCTGTCATGGTTGTTGTGGGGGCTCACTTTTTGCTCAGATGTCTTGATCTGGAGCGATTTGTGCTTTATGTGGTGAAGGTGATTCAGTTATACCCTTCAGCTTGACATATTTCACTGTTGACAAGCATAAGCTTATCACAATTTTTCATCTTATGGATGTTGGGACTTGGGAATGCATAATTCTCTTAAATCTCATTTTCATTTATGAATATAAGTTTTAATCCTATTCCCATACCCTTTTTACTTTTTAAATATACTTAAAATGATCTCGGTGTTAATTTCAGGAGTTCGAGCCTATAATACAGAAACCTTATACTATTGTCTACTTCCACTCTGCTGCGTCTCTGCAGACGTAAGTGTTAAATAACAGAATTCTGGGATTTACAGATTGGTCTATTCTCTTATGTTATTGGGGTATGAAATATGTTCAGGATTGTCTTTCAAAAGTATTTGAATTTGTACGAGGAATGGGCTAACTGTAGACATTAATTGGTGAACTAGTTGTTATATTATGTGAATTATTTGATTACATGAATAAAAAATGCTTTCATTTCTAAAATTTGTAAAATTCACATTTTGTAGAATAAGAGAACTAGAAATCCAACTGTTAATAATATGGCTGAACTTTTTTTTTTTTTTTGAACTTATATAGTATTTTATATAATTGCCAAACATCTCATATAGTATCAGTAGTACTTTTTTTGGTTGCTGGAAACATCTGCTTGTCCATTTGCATGTGAGGCATGGAATCTTGAAGTTACTTAACTATATGTAGTTATGTACCTTTGTTGAGGTTGGTTGGCATTATTTTTCTACCTGTTTGATATTTGTTTGATAAACAAATAATTTATTAAGAAATAAAGGAGATACAAATACACACAAACCCGGACAGACATGCTTTCATACTACTGCCTATATAACATTTAGCATCACTGAATCTCAGTACATCGCCCAGTCTTTAAATCATGCAATCCTTTCATTTGAGTCATCTGATGCATTGTGGCTTGGCTATATGCTACTCTGTCAAGGATGGTTTTTCTGTTAAATTTAAGTTCATTATTATGCTGATGGTACATTTGCCTGTTTAAGTGGTAGAGTTCTGTGAAACAAAACTAAAGAAGGGCAAGGTGACAGTTTTAGGGAAAATTGTTCTATAATTACTTAGGAAATAGATAGGAAGACAATTGTGCTTTGATGGTGGTTGAGTATTTACGTAAGAAGGTTGCTTTGTGAAACTATGCCTATTTATCCGTAACTTGTAGTTTCCTATTGTTGGTTGCTCCAGATTTGCATGCGATGCTCAGTAATATGGTTTCCTAACGACTGTTTTCACCTTTCTCCACCCTGTTTTTATTATATAAATAGGCAACCAGACCTAGGTTGGATGAGAAGATTACAACAAATACTTGGACGCAAGCACCAGCACAACCTGCATGTATGCAATATTTCTGTTTTCTTAAATTTTAGTTACAGCTTTGTAGTCTTTGTTTTGATTCTCCATCTGATATGATATTTCAGGCAATATATGTCCTTCACCCAACTATGGGACTAAAATTTACTGTATTCGCACTTCAGTTGCTTGTGGACAATGTGGTGCGTTATGAATCAGATTTTATTAATAGACTTAAACCATCCTATGCATGTTATTATCATTGACGATTAACTTTTAGGTTTGGAAGAAAGTGGTATATGTTGATAGACTACTGCAGCTCTTCAGATATGTACCTCGTGAACAGTTGACCATCCCAGATTTCGTCTTTCAGTTGAGTCTTTTTGTTTTCATGTATTGTCATCATTTGTTCTTTCTTAATGTTATTCCATAGAAGAAAATCGGTAGTAACATGCTATTGGGAATTATAGTCATAATGTTTACTATTGGCTGAAATCTATTGGTAATTGCAAAATCATAAGTAGGATTCATTAAATAGGAAGTGAGAGCAACATAATTTTGCTATCTATAGTTATATTAAAACTTCCCAAGGTTGAACATCTGTCAAGTTTTCCCACCCTTCATTCTGTGTCTTTCTTTTGGCATTCTGCTTTTGTATTTTCATGAAAATTTGATCACTTTTTAACTAGTCCATTGACCATGCAAAGAACGGGTGGATTGTTCTAGTTCCCAATCAATTTTAACCAAGTAGTAGTAAAGAGTGTATTAGAAAATATGTTGCTGCCATTTCTCTTCCATGAAATGTTTCACTTGATTTCTAGAAGTATTTGAGCTTCAGACAGGTGTATCATATTTTGTTTTCTGTTTCTATTTTCTTGTGAATGGAGCTTAGATTATAAGTTCTAATTCATTTTGTACTTGTATTCTCGTAGGCATGACTTAGAAGTGAATGGAGGAAAGGGTCTCATTGTGGATCCCAGAACAAAATATGTTTATCACAGACCATGAGCCTTTCATCTGCAATTCTTTTATTAGTTGATATAAGAGCATTACTTGCTGTAGTTTCGTCTTTATTTGCCTTGTCCATTATATATGTTTGTGTATGGAAGAATTCATTTTTCATTTTTGGAATTTTTGAAGCATTGTTAAGTTTTCTCTGTAAGTAAAATAATATTATATTTTTTTTTCTCTGTAATCTCCTAAGTAAGTTCTGAATATAATTCAAGGTGATTTTAATTTCTGTTGAAGCTGGCTTGTTGTGCAAGTGTCTTTCACATTTATAGGAGCAGGTTGATTGGTATAAAATCAGGCTTTGAAGATTTTCATTTTTCTCACTGCATTCTTAATTTATTCTACTAAGTACTAATCACTATCACCTTGAACAATATGCAACCAATTAAGCAAAATACATTAAATCAAACACAAATTGAGTGATAGTTAAATACGCTAAGTTCCTTTGGTTGATTGTTAAGGTGTTATCATTAATATATAGTAAGGAGGGAAGGAAATATCAGCCGAATATTTTCTTCACTCTACTTATTATTTGATTAATTGTTTTTGAACTATTAAAATGGGACATTTAAAGGTATCTTTTTTATAAGTGAAATATAAATAATAAAAATATATAGTATTATATATATAATATCATTTTAAAGTGGTTTAAATATTAAAATTTATAATGTATCAAAAAAATATTAAAATTCATATTTGTATATGCCAAATGGTAAATACAAAATAGTATAAAGCCTTCAGACAAAACACTTAATAGTTAGTGTAAGTGAATGGGCTCGAAATTCGTACACAATTGGTGAATGCAATTTGGTACCATATAACACTTTTGCTTATTTATTCCATCGACTATGGTATTTAGGACTATCAATTTGGATCTCGAGAGGAACAAGGAAAGATATGTTTCTCTGTACAAATTATAATTCAAAGATTCCCCAGTTGGTCAATGTTTGCGCGTTAAAGTAAAATAACAATCAATTTGGATCGCACACATCACTATTTTATAATGCCAACAAAAATCAGCAAAACATACCAAAATATTTAAAGGTGAGCTTTATATATATATACGCATTTTTTAAATGAGTTTTTCATCATAAAAAAACGAACAATTTTTCCTTTCCAAACACAATAGCAGTAGAGCAGAAAAATACTAATAATAGTTATCAATGCAAAAATGGAAATCGGTAGTGGATTCATAGAGAACAAATGAACCATTTCTTCGAATATATAATTGTAACTCATTCACTTAAGTAGTTTATATGCATAAAGAATCTCAGAAAGAAGACGGAAAAGATCATTAATTAAATATTATCAGCTTTTTTTAAGAGGGTTAGTAGCATCTATCAATAGATCAATGATAAATATTTAGTGGTGGCAAAATCCGCTAACAATATTTAAAGGACGATAGTTTTAACTTTCTGATTCATATTTTAATGATGTATCTTTTATTTCGGTATTGCAACAATTGTATTAAACATTTTTCTTAGAGATATAAATTGAAATCGAGCGACCTATGTTCTCATTTTATTCAGTTTGTAAAACTTCCTTGAAAATAAAATTTTATCTTTTCAATCATCCATTCCACAACTTTTTTTCCTCAACAATATCTTCTTCAACTAACATTTTTTCAAATTTACATATTTCATCTTTATTCCAACTTAAATTACTTCAAACATGCTTTTAATATTTTAATTTCCGACCGGTTTGTGTATATTGTATGTACAGACACACATATATAGCTTCAATTGCATTTGACCGCTTTGAAGATTGTATGTGCAAAAGTGGAGTGGGAACAAGAGCAAGTAGAATATAGGTGTTGGCCAATTTGCACGCTGCTTCCCTAATGTCAATATCAATGATTTGGAATATTTGGCTTTGCATGAGATGAAGTGACTGCAAATCCACGGTCTCATGTGCAAAAGCAAACCAAGTGTTAAGGATTAGAGGCATATTACCCTTATAAAATGCCGTTCTCTACCATTATGGTTCTACAAAATAGAATAGCTCAAGTTTATTCACATACTTGTTTTTGTTTAGGTGCTAATGGCAAAGTTGGCAATATCACTCTCATTCTTGTCCTTGACACTGTTAGCACTAGCAAGTGTTTCTAATGCTGGTAGCATTGCAATCTATTGGGGACAGAATGGTGAAGAAGGCAAACTGGCAGAGGCTTGTGCCACAGGGAACTATGAGTTTGCTATATTGGCCTTTTTGCCAACATTTGGTAATGGTCAAACTCCGATGATAAACCTTGCTGGCCATTGTGATCCTACTAATAATGGTTGCAGTGGCTTGAGCTCAGACATTAAGTCTTGTCAAGCCAAAGGCATCAAGGTGTTGTTGTCTTTGGGAGGAGGTGCAGGTAGCTACTCCCTTGCATCGGCTCAAGATGCAAGACAAGTAGCGACCTACCTTTGGAACAACTTTCTAGGGGGACAATCTTCGTCGCGCCCCCTTGGACCTGCTGTTCTTGATGGCATTGACTTTGACATTGAAGGAGGATCAAACCTTTATTGGGATGATCTTGCAAGGTATCTCAAAGGGTACAGCTATAGAGGCAAAAATGTGTACTTAACAGCAGCCCCTCAATGCCCATTTCCTGATGCTTGGATTGGAAATGCCCTCAAAACAGGTCTTTTTGACTATGTTTGGGTCCAATTCTACAACAACCCTCCTTGCCAATACAGCAGTGAAGTTAGCAATCTTGAAGATGCATGGAAGCAGTGGACTTCAGATATACCAGCCAACAAGATCTTCTTGGGGCTACCAGCTTCCCCTCAGGCTGCAGGAAGTGGCTTCATAGATGTGAATGATCTTACTTCCAATGTGCTTCCAGCAATTAAAAGTTCTTCCAAATATGGAGGTGTTATGCTGTGGTCTAGGTACTATGATACTCAAAGTAGATACAGTTCCTCCATCAAGAGCCATGTCTAAAATCAAAACATATTTGAGTGTACTTTATGTTTGTATATGTAGTATTGTAATATTTAATCTTGTACTGGTGTATGATCAACATACATACATATATATATATATATGTGCAGTTTCTTCTCTGAACTATATTATTACCAGTGTTTTGACAAGTTTTTACCTGAACAACGTGAATTATTTGGGCAGACATGTATTTTGAGAAGCACTCATAAGTCAATAGAAATTAGGAGACAGCCATGAAGTCACAAAAGAGCATCAAGATAACAGAAATAAAGTCTAGCAGTCTATACATATCCAAATAAGAATTTCTATTTGGTGCTGCCCGTGTTAAGTGGCTAAAATTGGAGAAATTATTCTATGGTCAAGACTACTACCTGTTTATGATTTTGGTCAATTATAAAATGACACATGGTTAATTTTTTATGAACTCTTTCTTTTAATTAAAAGTTATAGTTAAAGTGTTATTTTTTTTATTAATTGAGACTGTAAATATGTGGTGATCTCAAATCTTACAATAATTTCTCTCAAAATTGAGAAGTGGGAGGCTGGACAGTAAAATTTTACAGGTGGAGCCTTTAGGGTGAGAATTCATGAGATAATTGTGTTCAACAAGAATATAAAAGTGAGAGACTCTGAATTTAACCCAACTTTTATTATATGGTCACGCAAATTCTGATCCAACTTAAACTCCCTGATTACATCTTTCTACCCTGCGAAAAGAAAACACTCTCGTGAGTCATATCTGTGTACAGTATGTGTGAAAAATTTGTACCCATCTAAAAATAGTGCAGAAGTAATCACTAATCCCCTAATAAAATGGTGACATGATAATGGCCTTTTTAATTTAACAAAATTTAGATGTAACCCCATTCTTTAATTAAAATTAAAAGTTTATCTTAATAGAGTACATTATTGACTATTATTATATAAATTATTAAAAAATAATTTTAATTAAAAAATTTCGTAAAAATACCCTTAATATTGAGACAATTTTTTATTTTTTTATATGCTCTTTTATCGTCATGTTTTATGATACTTTTTCTCATCCAATCATCACATCTTTATTATTTTTTTTTAGAAAGATGCTACAATTTAGAACTCAAAATCATTTATTTTCCATCTTTCTACTGAATTTTTTTGACTTCTATATTTTGGATTTAATTGACAATATTTATTGAGACCAAGAAAAACGTAGAAATTTTAAATCAACTACTTACATAAATTTTTTCTTTGCATATATTCCGCATATTTGCGTCCATTGAACCTGTGACTGTGAGGCCATCGACGTAGTTTGAAATCGTCTGCTCCAACTGGCTTCTCTGTTGCCACCCTTTGGTAATATTTTCTGTTTGTTTCCCGGGAAAATATAACTAGTTGCTCCAAGAAAATTTCCTGCATATTTTCTTCATAGTTTGTTTCATTCGAAATCTGACTGAAAACAAAAACGCATGTCCACACGACACCCACATGTTATTTCCTGCTTCCATTTTTAATACCTTACTTTCTCGCAATACCCAGATAAGAAATGGTGTAGTTGAAGTCCAATTCGGGCAAAATTTTACTAATTTTGAGGGGAAAATGAAACCTTTTCTTTTGTTGTTTTGTGGGGTATGAATTTTCAAATTATGATTTTGAAGCTTCATAATTTCCACTCATGTATTGGAATCAATGCAGGAATATTCTCAAGGGTAAATTTGTGTTTCGGTTTTACCCTTTTGGGTTGAGAGACTGAGGAATCATTTTTTGACTTCTCAAAAATGGTGCAAGGTGTGTCACTGAGCACTTTGGCGACCTGTGGAAAAAGCAGGTTCTGTGGATCATCACCATTTTTTATGGCACCCTTTGAGCCTTTTAAGAGATCCCAGATTGCCTCTGCCACTGGCAGAAGCTTGGTTTGGAATCAGTGTGTGCAAAGCTTGTTCTTAATTGGGTATCCTTATGTTTCAAGGCAGAGTGATTTTAAGGCTGAGGCAGCATGGATGTTTAGAGGGGGAGAACAAGGGTTGGATGCAAGTGCAGAGCACAGTGAAAGTGCTAATGAGGATATCTTGATGTTCTTCTTTCAGCTAGACTTAGCCACAAGAGTACAGGTCTGGCTGCTTTTACTCTTACTGTAAGCAGTTAAGTGGTGTATTGGTTCTCTCAAATTGATGGAAGAATTCTGAATACTTCGTTTGTTTCAAACTTCTGAATGTCAGTATGCTTTAAATATGGAGCAGTATGACATTGCACAGCAGCTGAGAAACAAACTTACTGAGGTTAGATGAATTAACCAGTTATCCTGTGTTGGTATCCTATATGGCTGGCTCTACCATGTTATGCTCTACCGATGAGTTTCTGTCAGTGATTTAAATTTCTTTTGTTGTTTGTCGCCCTTGAATTGTGTGTATGAATATGAATCTAGTCCCTTTATGACTTGAATTAAAGCATGCGTCCCAGTGTATGTATCATTGTCTATCTACATGTCTTCAAGTTTTGTAAATTTTGTGGGACTGGTGCACTGAATGACTTGCAACTTGTTTGGTGAAATATTGTTTTTGGAAGGTCGAAGAAGAGGTAATCAAGCAAAAACAATCAAAAAGGGGCTTGTCTTCAAAAAGTGAAGCTCAAGATAAAGCTCTAAGCATTATACGTCTTCGGTGAATTTTCTTCATCCTTTGTGTCAAGCCAATTTGTTCTTGATGATTAACCAGCTCTTTATTTTCTTCCAGATATGTGTAATCCAACTTGAATACTAATATTGATTTTAATTCTGTTTCCCTTGCAGTTCAGACCTCCAGAATGCTATTGAGAATGAGGATTATGCATTGGCTGCTGAATTACGTGATGAAATTTCCAAACTTGAAGCAGAGTCTCTAGCTGCATCAGCTAAAGCTTTGGCACATGAAAATGCAAAATATGCATTCCGCTTAGGGCAGAGAGTGAGACATAAAAAATTTGGTAAGTAGTTGAGAATTGAGATGCCTTCCATCAAATACGACCAATTATTATTAATTGCATTTCAAGCATGCAATATGATCTAACCATAACAATGATGCTCATTGGTTGTACTCTGAATCTTTTCAATGGCTCAAGTTAATATTATGGAGCTACAGTTGCCTTACCCAACTTGTAGGCTTGGAAAATCTAAATTATCAATAATGCAGGCAAAAAGAACCTGATTGGCAACACCTTGTAAACCTTTCATATGGATGTACACATTGATAAGTTGAATATTTCATAATTGTGGAGGATATGATTTCTTTCCCCCTTCCTTCATTATTGCAGGCTATAAAGCTGTGATCTGTGGAATGGATCCAGTATGCTGTGAATCAAGTTCATGGATGGAAAATGCACAGGTTAAGAAATTGTCTCGAGGTTCCACTCAACCATTTTATCAGGTTTGATTGACTTCGGCATACAAATTGACTGGCATGAATTATTCTTTCTGTGGTCAAAGTTAACTTTTAACTAATTTATTTTACTCTAATTATAAGCCAGCTGATTCATCTTTTTACTCTTCAATTCTTACTAATTATAGTAGTTCAATCTGCAGAAATCAGAACAGATCGTGCAATGCAAATACTGTGTAGTAGTTATTAACTAATCAATAGCATATTGTGAAAATGCTAGCACAAGGGATTTCATCACTAATTATTCTGTGTCTGTTATTAAGGTTCTCTTTGATTGTCTCTGTTATTGTTTGATAGGCTGCATCGAGGTGGTGGAAAGACCATGTACTTCTTTAAATTGTTTCTCTTCATACTGAGCAAACATTTTGTATAAAACATCATTTTCATGATTATTTGCATGCAAGACAATGTTGTTGGAAATGTATTTATTCTTTGTTGATCTATTGTTAGATCAATTTATCTTATTTTGTTAATAGTTGAATTGGCTTTGATTAAGAGGCGTGGTGGCCTTTAATTGGTTTTACTTCTTCTACTGTCCAGGTTCTCATTGACGTACATGCTGAACCAAATCTATTGGTGGCTTATGGTAAAGCTGGATTACTCAATTCCTCAGGCTTATGTATTTATGAAAATATTATTATTATTAATTTAATCAACTAATAGAAAAAAGTATTTTATATAAAAATAATTTAAAGAGGAGTGGTAATAGACATTTTGGACTGGCAATAGACTCTCCCTAGATTTAGTGGTGTCTATTATTTACTCGTTGATATTTTGTCATTTATTTTCTATTGCTTATCTCTGTAGTACGTACAGTTAGCAGACCAAATATTATTACAACTGCTTTGATAAACGTGGTTTTTGATGTATGGGTTTCCATTATGTTCTTGGTTTCTTCTTGAAGACAAATAAATAATAACTTTCATGTTGATTTTTCTCAATTTCTCTTTGCAGTTCCAGAGGAGAATCTCTTAAAAGATGACAAACCAGACATGGTGAGTAAATCTATACTTGAAATACTTGCATTATGCTATTATTTTAGTCATTTAATTGGCGCTTTTAACTGTATCCAGGGAAGGTTTGATCATCCCTACATCTCTTTTTTATTCTATGGAATGGATTCAGCTGGAGATTTCATCCCAATTAAGCAACTACGAGAGAAATACAATAGACCACGGCATGAAATACCCCTTGATCCACCAAATGATGAAGATGGAGGAAAAGCTTAAATTACTGATGTGAGGCTATATGCAATGTTCATCTGCTTTTTTTGACAATTTATTGAAGGAATTGGTTGACAGGCTTTGCAGGAAACTTAATGACAGGAAAGCATTCGTAGTGTTGCTTGTACAAATGATATGACACTTTTTCTTTGTGGTCACTCACATTAATATTGTGTTGCAAAACTTTTCATTTTCCATTCCTTAATCGGCAGTGAAGGTACTTATTATCTAACCTTACCTTCATATGTGTGTGTGTGTGTGTGTGTAATATGTATAGTGTTATCCGAAGAAAAGTTACCTCCTATTTTTATCTTGAAATGGGATAGGTTATGCATATAACTGAGCTTGTTTTACCCTGTTCCAATTCCAGCCTTTAAGAGCTAATTGAATTTTTTCCGGGTGTAATTCATTGCATTGTGATGATCATATGAATATCATTTGGAGGTTTATCAAAGACACAATCTTACACAATAGTACATTCACAGCACTAGTCAGTAGTCACCTCCCAGCTATGTTGGATGGGCATTTAGGATGCTTTCTGATGCACAACTTTTTAAGCTCTTGTTGAACAAGCTCATTTTAAATACTAGCTTATGTTATAAACAGTTTATTTTGATAAGTTATATCACAAAGCTTATTGAAATGAGTTGAAAAGAGTTTATAGGAATTATATATTATTTTTATCAGTTATTCATAAGTTCTTTTAAATGGGCTCTTAATGTTTGCCGAAATGAGATTTTGTCGGACTGTGATAGTAGTCAGTGTTTGCTATTAGAGCAGCATCTTGTACATTTGCAATTACTGTCAACTGTTAGTTACTAGAGTAGTTTTTTTTTTTTGTTGTTGATTTTTCGTAGTTGCTTCCCAAGTTAGTTGGTGACAGACTGATCTTTCCAAACAGTATCAAACATCAAAGTGGAGTTTTTCTCAACTACATTTTTCCATACACAAATCTTTAAATCAAATTACAAATCACATGCTTAGAGAATTCTTATTTTAACTTTGTTTTATACACTCAAACCAACATGTTGGTTTCTTATAGTACCAGAAGGCATTTGAAATTAATTTTGAAAATTAAGTTCTAGTAAATAATAATTTTTTTTAAAAATATATTGATAGTGAGATTAAGTTCAATAGTATTAAATGCGGATAAAATTTTTGTTATAATAATTTGTAAAAAATTATAATTCAATTAATTTTAATTTTTTTTTATTGTCTGTGTATTTTGATCAAATGTTCTTTATAGAAAAATACAATGAAAAAATAATATTGAACTAAAGAATTTAAATTGGGTGTGAAAAGAAAAAAAAATGCAAAGAGTAACTCCCCGTTAGTAGAAGTCTTCAAGCCTAGTTTATCAAAAAGGCCAAGATAAATTCACTTGACAAATTAAAATTTATATTTTACTTTTTAAGGATATGTTTGAAAATAAGGTTTTGAAAGAAAAAGACTTGTGATAATTACATGATTAATATATTAAATATATCTTAATATATTAATTTATATATTTTATTTAAATAGATATTAATTTTAAATATAAAATTTATCTTCTTTTTTCTCTATTTTAAGATTTTTCTTTTCAAACAACTCTTAAATGTTATATTAAATCTTTGATGTCAAAATTATGACCATCCTTTTATACATATTTTTACAATGTATATACTTATTTTGGATTGAAAAAATATATCTTAATGCTGATAATGATTTTAAGGATGATGAAGTTTTATATTAAATAAAATATAGACATTATTTTTAAGGATAATAGTATTTTTATTTTATTTTTTGTTAGATAGCTGAAAAAATAAACCACTTGACTCATTTAAGTAATTTATTACATGCAATAGATGAAGTTAAATATTCTTTTTAACTTCTTATTAGCTTTTACATTTTTTTCTACTATAGTGAACAAAAATTATTAGTAAATTTTCGAACTAGGATACATATCAAATGATTTAACAAAATGGATAAATTAGACAATACATTTTCTACAACCCGTCAAACAAATTTGCGTTATAGTATATTAGAAAAAGGTGACTCACAGCTAACATATGTCATTCAAGGGGGTTGATAAGACATGTCATTGCAGAAGTTATTAATGGTGAAGGAATTATTCAAATAGATTTTGACATGTATCAATAATTGGAGGAATTACTCATATCAAAGAGGAGTCATTCGAAGATATATTGACACGTTCAAACATTTAATTTTAGTAGATCATAAAAAAAACTTTAATTTAATTTTAATTTACAGTCTAGATTTCTTGGCATACGTTGAAACTAGCCTAATTAGATAGATTTTAAACAAAATATAAACGTTACCTTTTAGATGCATTTTATTATTACTTTTTAATTAAAATCAATATTTTATTTTAATAAAATATGTATATTTAATATTATTAATTTAAAACTTAAACTTTTAATAAATAACAAAAAAACACCTGAAAATTTACACATGTACTTCTGCCGTTTTTAATCTCCTAAAACCCCTTCAACTCCAATGTATCTATCCTTGAAATTTTCCCTTGTTACCAATCTGTCCTAGATGCTTCCCGCTCATTTTCTTCAGTCTCATATGTTCAACCATTTGCAACCGAAACACACAGAAAAAGAGATGCCACTGTACATGCCATTGTTCAGATCATGTTCAACCATAAGAACACTCACCCAGCTTCATGCCCACCTCGTTGTCAATGGCCTCCACAACGATCCACTTGCCTCTACAAAGCTTCTTGATTCCTACGCCCAAATGGGTTCTCTCCATTCATCAAGACTTGTTTTTTATGCACACCCATTTCCTGATTCCTTCATGTTGGGGGTTCTCATCAAGTGTTACCTCTGGAACCACTTGTTTCACCAAGTGCTTTCGCTTTACCATCACTACTTTCAAATGGGTTCCCACCTCACCAAAAACTGTAGCTTTATATACCCTTCTGTTTTGAGAGCTACTTCTGGTGTTGGTGACTTGGTTATGGGCAGAAAAGTGCATGGTAGGATAGTTAAGTCTGGGTTTAGCTCTGATCATATTATTGGAACTTCGTTGCTTGGAATGTATGGGGGATTGTGCTGTTTAGATGATGCTCGGAAGGTGTTTGATGGAATGTGTGAGAGAGATTTGGTTTCTTGGAGTTCTGTTGTATCTTGTTATGTTGAGAATGGGCGACCGAGTGAAGGATTGGAGATGTTGGGTTGGATGGTCTCTGAGGGAATTAGACCTGACTCGGTTACGTTGCTAAGTGTGGCCGAGGCTTCTGCCAAAGTTGGTAGCTTGAGTTTAGCAAAATCTGTCCATGGATATGTGATTAGGAATGGGATGGTTGGTGATTTGAGTTTGAGGAATTCTCTTATTGTTATGTACAGCCAGTGTGGAGACGTCTGTAGAGCAGAAGGGGTCTTTGAAAGCCTCGCTGATCGAAGTACTGCATGTTGGACTTCTATGATTTCGTCATATAATCAAAACGGGTGCTTTGATGAAGCAATAGATGCTTTTGTTCAGATGCAGGAATCAGAAGTAGAACCTAATGCAGTGACAATGATTAGTGTTCTGTATTGTTGTGCTAGGGTAGGTTGGTTAAGAGAGGGGAAGTCGGTTCATTGCTTTATTTTAAGGAAAGAAATGGATGCCACTGATATTGATCTGGTACCTGCACTGATAGATTTTTATGCTGCATGTTGGAAAATAAGCAGTTGTGAAAAACTTCTTCATTTGATGGGAAACAGCAATGTTGTATCATGGAACACACTTGTATCATTTTATGCTCGGGAGAGTTTAAATGAGGAGGCCATGACACTCTTTGCTCGTATGTTGGCAAAGGGGATAATGCCAGACTCATATAGCTTAGCAAGTACTATTTCAGCGAGTGCGAATGCTGGTTCAATACAATTTGGACAGAAGATACATGGTCATGTCATGAAAAGAGGCTTCATGGACGAATTTGTTCAGAACTCCTTGATGGATATGTATTCAAAATGTGGCTTTGTAGATTTGGCATACACAATTTTTGACAAAATGATGCACAAAAGCATTGTGGCATGGAACTGTATGATTTGTGGGTTTTCTCAAAATGGCATATCAGTAGAAGCACTCAAGCTATTTGATGAGATGTACTTCAATTGTCTTGACATCAATGAAGTAACCTTCTTAAGTGCGATTCAAGCTTGCTCAAATTCAGGTTATCTTGAGAAGGGAAAATGGGTTCACCATAAGATCATTGTATCTGGCATGCAGAAGGATCCTTATATTGATACAGCTCTGGTTGACATGTACGCCAAGTGTGGAGACCTTAAAACGGCACAAGGCGTCTTTGATAGCATGCCTGAGAAAAGTATAGTGTCATGGAGTGTCATGATTGCTGCTTATGGCATACATGGTCAAATAATTGCTGCCACCACCCTCTTCACTAAAATGGTAGAGTCGGATATTAAACCAAATGAAGTAACCTTCATGAATATCTTATCTGCATGTAGGCATGCTGGATCAGTGGAGGAAGGGAAGTTATATTTTAACTCAATGAGGGATTATGGCATAGTGCCCAATGCAGAACATTTTGCCTCTATAGTTGACCTTCTAAGCCGCGCCGGCGATATCAACGGGGCATATGAAATAATTAAGTCCACATACATGCCTGTAGATGCTAGCATTTGGGGCGCTCTACTGAATGGATGTCGCATACATGGGAGGATAGACTTGATTAAGAACATTGAAAAAGAACTTGGAGAAATAAGTACAGATGATACAGGGTACTACACGTTGTTATCTAACATATATACTGAAGGTGGAAACTGGTATGAATCCAGAAAGGTGAGATCAAGAATGGAAGGAATGGGCCTAAAGAAGGTCCCTGGGTACAGTACAATTGAGATAGGTAGGAAAATCTACAGATTTGGATCTGGAGATACTTCTGAATGGCAAATGAATGAAATTTATAAATTTTTGGAAAATTTTCACAGTATAGCACAGGAACAAGGATGTGATGTAGAATGCTATGGTGCAATGTATGGTACTAGTATGTTTTTTGAGGATTATAGTTGTTATAACTTGCAGACAGAAACTAACCATTGCATTTGGAATAAATCAGTCCCATTTTAGAATGATAACATGTTTTTCAGGAAAATGTTTAGAGAGATTATTCTGTTAGTGTTCTTTCATTGCTGCAATTCAAGGCCAGCAACATACGGGAGAAAATATTTAAAATAACGTAGCAATACATAGTTGCTATATTACAGACAATTCGTCATAACTTGGCAATGGTATAAAATTACCACTTCAGCATTTAAAATCAGTGACCCACTTTAGCATACTCATGAAAGATTAACTGCTCAAGAACTCTATCTAATATTGATGGTAAACATCACTTAGACTATTTTATTTTTATACAAGCTAACAGAAGTAATAACAATTTTGTTAATTTAAGCTATTAGAACTGACTTTAAAAATGTATAAACAACATGTTTTTATTGAAAATATAACATTTTTACATTTTCAAAACAACAAATAATATGGTAATTAAAAAGTAACACTTCTAGTTACTTATTTTCACCTCTGAAGTAACATTTTAATAATAATAATAATTAACTCTCCTGTCAACCCATATTTTTAGTAGTGGCCAATAATAATCTTTTGATCAAATTTTGTGAATTTATTAAAAATATAAATTGATTTCTTAACATGAATAATAAAATTTATCTAAAGAAAAATAATTCTTTAATTTTTAAATTTCTTTTAGTTCTTTATAATTTTTTAATTTGGTTCATTAATCAACTGTGGTCATAAATTATGATTTTTTGTTAGTTAGAATATTTTTTACTGTAACAATTAACAAATAAAAATTTAAAAAAAGATCAAAATAAAAAAATCAATTGAAATAAAAAGGTAAAATTAAATTATTAATTTTACTTTCAACTAACTATAAAAAAAATTATTAATTTGGTCAACTATGAAGATTTGACATGACATAGGAAAAGAAAAAGAAAAGGGTAGGTGGTGGGGAAAAAGACAAAATAAATGGGGTATGAATTTATGATAAGTTAGGTGATAGGAATGAAAAGAAAAGTAGCTTTGTAATTTTATATATATAGAGAGAGAGATACAGAAGTTAAGTAATAAGTAGAAAGAAGTACGAAGCAACAACAAGAACGAATCAGAAACACTTTCCATTCTTCCACTGTTTTGTTCTGTTTTGTTGGTACCACACACACCACAATATCCAAATATCCCTTCTTCCCTCTTTCTCTGTCCCACACAACATTCAATAACAATATATAATCATTTACATTTTCCACCACTCTCATGTAACTCTTTTTCTTTTAAATATTTTTGTTATAAATTAATAAACGATGTTTTGATATAATTAAAAATAGTATTTTTGAAAAAATGAATTTTAGTATTATTAATATCTTCAGTTCTGCAATTTCTTATTTTCTAAACTATGATGTAAATTAAAAATATGTTCAGGCCAAAATTAACCACATTTATGTTATTAATCATCATATTTCTGTAACTTAATCAAGACGTTATAACGTAGTTAGGTAATATGTAGTCAATTTTGTCAATCGATTTTTTCAAATTAATGTTTTTTTTCTGTGTCTTTTTCCTGTTTAAAAGTGTTTAACTAGAACTTAAGAATGAATTATATTTAAAAAATAATAATTGATTTTTATTTTTAAGACTTTATACTTTTTTGGTAAACGAAGTTTGTTTTCAATCTCTTTCACTTGACGGAAATTTGTTGAATTTTAACATCCTTTTAAATTTAGGGTTTTCTAAACATTTCTTTTTATCTAATTTTCTTCATTTCTCATATTTAATTGTACAAATGTAGTAACTAGATGGAAGATTTTTCAAACATATCAATAAGAGTGATTCAGTATTTTGCCTAAAATTAATTTTTGTTTGATTTATAATTTAATCAAAATCACAAAGAACTAAAATTTATTTTTTAAACTATAAAGAATTAACTTCAACTATAACCAAATCATAAGGAGTTTTTTGCTACTTAATCCAATTTTTTATAGAACTAAATTTCTTAAAAAGTTTTAAAGCAAGATACTTAAAAAAAGTTTTTAATGAAAAACAGATTGATTCAAATATTAAAGTAATTTTTAAAAAATATTACATAGATTTTTATATCTTTCTCTTTAGACTGAGTGAGAGAGAGAGATTTGTCCATTTTTCTCCTTTCTCTTTTCCATTACAAAAAGTTTAAGAAAAAAGTAATAATGCATAAAAGGTAATATTTTGTTAAACAAATATATATTACCTAATAATATTCTTTACAATAATAACTGAGCCTTTGTATAAGTAATCAATCCCTTTTTTATTAAAGATTACAGAATTTAATATTATTAAATATTATAATTTTTAATTTAAAAATAAAAATATTATTAACGGGTTAGAATAACAATGTGCACTTGCTTTAAATAATTGTGTTTGGCATCTTGTGTTTTTCACTCCTGCTCTATTTTCTTGACCATGTGACCAATCTGGCATGTAGCAGGTCAGAAAACGAACAAGGCCACAACTTTTTCCTTTTTCTTTCTATTTTTTGAGTTAAAGAGAGAAAAGTAAAAAACAAAAGATGGCCATTTCTAGCCATCCAAATGTCTTGTCCTAATACTGCCAGAATCAAAAATGTTATCTGCAAGCATGCCTTTGCTTTTGTTTTTATGGGTTGGCACTTCAAAAGACTCTTCATTTATCTTCTTCATTCTGCATGTTACTTTACAGATTACATTTGTTGCACAACTTTTCACGTCTATTACAAGTATATGATTATAGATTGCTCCTATTTTTTTTTCCATGTACACTACAAGTATTCCTAAACTAAATTTGTTAATTATAATAGACTTAGTAAAATATTGTTGTTCTTATTTTCTTAATTTACCCGCTTTTTTCTTAACATATATTTTTTTTCTCAAGTCAATGAAAAGGTGCTTATCAACCAGACTAAATTAGTTTCCAGGAAAAAAAATTGTCCAATTTAATTTGTAAAAACTGATAAATTATTGTACTCAGCAATTTATTTTAACCGCTAAATGCTTTTATTTAGCCTTTGTTTGAACAGTGGGACAAAATAGAAATGAAAATAGAATTTTTAAATAAATTAATGGTGTTTGAATTCATAGAAATAAAAATGAAACGAAAATGGATACTTTTTTCATATGTTAGGATGAATTGAAATATGAAGAGAAAAATTTATACCTAAAATATTAAAAGAACGTAATACTGTAATAATTATTTACCAAAATCCAATTCACGCAATGAGATAAGAGCGTTTTATAACAAGAACAGAATAGAACAATAATAATGGCCCCTATTCCATTTCATGGCAATGAGAGAAAGGAATGTAAATATGTGAGTCCCACTGAAAATTAGACAATTTCAAACATTATTTCCAGGCCAATCAAATCATGGAAATGAGCTAAAATAGAAGAATTCCACTCCCTCATCTGTCAACCCATCCCATTTTGTTTAGTATTAATGTCTTGTTACCAAGCAATCTTTAGGGCAAGATCAATTAAATTTACTGGGGTTTAATTTGATGAGTGTATGTTCCAATAAATAAGTTTGATGACAGATCAGCCTGTGTTTGGGATACTTGTCTCTAAAACAGACGAGTCTAGGAATACTTGTAGGATACACTTAAAAAAATAGCAAAATTCTATAATCATTTCCAGTAATATAAAGAGCTATATAATATTTATAAAAATAAATAAAAGATTGACACATTATATGACTAAAAATTTATCATTTTATGACTTTCATTTTAAAAAAAAATGAAACTAGAGAATAATAATTAGAAATAAAAATTTTACCCCTCACAAATTTTCACCAACCAACATGCAACAAAGTTAACAAACTATTTATGTATCACATTGCAGGGGGCATTCCTCTCAGACAAACAGGGAGAGCTACATTGCACTACCAAATACTTCACACTTCAATAATTTACTCATGTTCAAGCTATGTGTGATATATAGCCTGAGACTCCACCAATGATGAGAGACAAGTTTGAAGTTTGATCATTTTTTTCCCTCTAGCCACCAGTGGCCAATTTCGAGAAGGCCATAAAGAAAGAAAAGAGAAAATCTTGTAGGTAACTCTCTCTACACACACCAATCTTTAAGATTAATTTTAAGCATAGAATATAGTAATCATTTAAAAAAATATATTACACTTTTGTATTCTCAATAAATAAATGTAAAATCAACATTCAGAACTAATGTCAACATTTTTCTTAAAATAGAAAAAAGAAACTTACTAGAATAATAGGGATTTGCAAACAATGGAAAAAAAAATTGTACATATTTAACATTGTGATTCCTTGATAATCATAAAACAGATCATAGAAAATCCATTTTACACTCAAAATGAGCTGTCATTAAGGACAATTAATATATCCATAACAAAGAAACAAATGCAATTCTCATGCATCAGAAGAAATCATTAGTACTTAGCAATAAAATCATTAGTAAAAATCCCAGAAAGAGAGAGCAGTGAATTGAAGGAACGCTGGTATATATCTCAACAGTTCTATAAAGAGATAAACAGAAGAAATCATGCAACATTATTTGAGAATAATACAAGTTGGTACCACCCAAAGACTGAGAATCAAGCATTTACCCAAATGCGGGTTGAAGAACTTTACAAGAGAAATCCCCATGCCTGAGAACATCATCTCCTCCATCAATTTGGATGGAAACTGGCCCTGCTTACCTCTATAAATTTTCTTCTAAAATTTTAAGCCTCTTATGGTGATTAGGTTAACGGGATCAATGGAGGGTTACCGGCTGGGCACCTCTGTCTACGGGGCCTTCTGGTTGTCTTGCCCCAACCTGTTAGGCTTCTATCTTCCAATCCAACTTCAATATTGTTAAGGTGGTGCATCAATGGGGTGCTAGTTTCATTGGTTGCTGCTGGAGTTGAGGGAGAGGGGGTAATCTGTGCCCGCCGCCTCCCCCTTCCACTGCCATTCCTAGATGAGCTTCTCCTAGTTAATCCTGAATGCCACGAATGACCTGTTGCTCTCATAAGCCCTCCAAATGTCTGAAGATCCTCTGTCACTTGGTGCCTCGATAAAGATGCAAGGCCTGGAAGGATGTCCCTTTGGAAGTCTCTCCGCTGCCTCCCCCTCCTTTTCCGAGTAGGTAACATAGTTGTTGTTTCTTCCACTTTGAAGTTTTCAGGAACAAGAGGCTTGGGCATGTAGTCCTCTTCCTTGGTCTCTGCCATTTTCAATGTCATGGTCTCAAAGTAATCCATTCCTTCGGAGGAACACTCCTTGTTATCCTCACCCTCTTTTTCCCTCAAAATATCACACTTGCCTTCAAGATTATCTTTGCATGAGAAAACAAAGTCTGCAAACCAATTTAGCGGGTCTGCCATTGGACTTTCCGATGAACTACTGTTGCTGATCACACCATCCACTTGATCACAGGAAAGAGATGACAGTATAACAATTGTCTCTGCTGCATTCGTCATAAGTTCATCATCCTTTGACTGTTCATCTGTGTCTTGTGAAACTTGTGATGATGATCCAGGAGTTTCAAGCTGCTTTTCTTCAGGAACACCGTCCTCCTCTGTCTCAGGAATGGCAGGGGCTTCAAGATCTATTTCTGCCTTCATTTTCACATTGTCACTTAGTAAAGTTGTGAGAGATCCTTCATCCTCACTCATACTCAAGTTCAAATCAATTTGGTTTCTAGACTCTGCTTCTGTTGTAGGAGATCTTGTCTTGCAAGCAGCAGTTTCAGTGAATGCTTCTTTGTCCAACTCAAGAAGACCAGCATCACAAGGCAAGTTAATATCAAGTATTTGTTTTTTCTTATTCTTTTCTGCTGCTTCTGCATCAAATGGATTAATAATTGACACAGAGGGAGAAGTGATTGAAGACACGACCTTGGGAGAAATATGAGGCATATCAAATATGGGAACACCAAGAATTTTCTTATGGCTAGAGCTTTCATTTATCTCCACCCTCTTTGGCTCAATATTATTAGAACACAACACTGAGGCAGCATTGTGTATGAACTTTCCACTGGTCCCCTTTCGAATTTCATCTTTGTTGGACAATGAGGCAGTATGGAATAAACTTGACTCTACTGCAGTGTTTTGTACTTCATCCTTACGAGTTATCTTCCCTCTGAGCCAAGGCAACACCGCATGATGCTCCTCATGCTTTTGTTCTTCATCCATTATCCCAACACCTGACTGAGGAACAATGATATTGGATGAACCATTTGGAAGCAGCACATTCAAGTCAATGTCTTTTCCAGACTTCATGTCGTTGCAATTTGAACCCTTGCAGTATTTTGATGAACCATAGTTGAAGAAAGCATCAGAAATTATTTTACTGTCGTTATTATGATTGAAGTCATAGCTGATTGAAGAGACAGTTGCCGATGGTTCCTTGGACCCAGATGAAGACCCATGGTGAAATCCATTCTGCATCGGTACCTCACATTGAAAACCTGGGCTGCACTTTGAGTTGATATTTAGAGGCAAACTATCTTCGAATATCCCATTGCTTTGATGTGATTGGGAACTTCTATTTAAAGCACCAAATGCATTTAGACATGGAGGTGTCTGAATTGACGTCAACTTCTGGCTTAGGCTGCTACTTGGCATTTCCCAAGAAGAAGCCGAATGAGACCAAGACTTGGATAAATCAGAAGGAGCAACTGCAAAAAGACCAGGTCTATGTAATGGTACCACAGACTCAGGTTGCGAGTGTTCATGATTTCCTTCACTGATACGTAAATCACTAACTGTCTTTTCCCTCCACATGTCACCCTTGTTTTGACCACTTAGATAATAAGACGCAGGTTCATGAACTTTGCTAAGTGCATCTTGCATTGTTTGGGAAGGTAAAGGTGATTTCTCCAGTTTGAGGACTTGAGGAACAGGTTGTGTGTTAGCTTGCCCTGTCAACATTAGCAACATGATTGTCAGGCACATTTTTTCTCAGATATCAACATCAATACTTGATTGGTGCCGGATAAAAGAGAAAGAAAAGTGAACTCCAAACAAATAAAAAATAAAAAAGATGCACACAAAAATCAGCTTTGTTAAATTTTAATTGACGCAAAAAGATCCAAATTTACTAATAACATGGAAGAAGAAGAAAGGCAACAAAGTTTATAGTAATTCATTATCTCCACTCCAACAAGTCCGGTGAAAAGCCAAGCTCTTTAGTTCCTCCTGTATCTTTAATAAGCTTATTGTAATAAAATCACAATAAGACAAACTAACCTTAATTCATTATTAGCTTTTTCTTAAACAATAATTTTCCTACCAGTCCTTTCAGTTATTAATTAGACAACCACTTTCCAAATTCAATATACCAAATTATTTAAATAAAAAACAACTAAGTTTGGGTGGAAGTGGGAGAGGAATAAAAAGTCTAACCTGCCCCAACCACTGATGGATGCCACCCTTTTCCGCTGCCATTGTTCTCCAAATATCCATTATTTCGAGCCCAAATGTCAGTTCCATGACGTGAATTGGGCAATTGTTCCCTAGACAAACCAAAAAACTCTGACTTTTGTTTAGCAGAGGCAGAGAGATCAGAGCATTCAGTAGCCCCTTGGCAAGCATTATGGCTCAGAAGGTGAACATAAGGAGAATTGTATGTTTCTTCCATTTGAACAGGTTCATTTAAGTCAGCCAAACTATTTCTTCTCCTCAAAGACTGCTCAGGTCTTGAAATGTCCTGCTTGCCAATCTGCCCACCATTGCCACAAAAAAGTTTCCCATTACTCTCCCTTCCACTTTTACAATTTCTATCAGGATGAAATAATGATGGACCGCTTATCTTTTCATTGCTGAATTTTTCACTTTCCTCGGTTTCAATGTACTCATCAGCAGGGAGCTGAAGGTCAAACATTTTTCTCCTCACCTTTGAGGGCCTGGACTCAAGCACCTCAATATCTTTTGAACTACACCCATTTGGGGACGGAAATAAACTAGCTTGTTGGCTGATTCCTTTAATAGAACCCAAAGGAGAATGAGTGCCTTCAACTCCTGAAACAGATGTTTTGGCACAAGTAGAATTTCCCACAGGAAAGCCAGAAATATGCCATTTATGTCCATCTTCAGTCGTTACTTGAGATGTCAAGGGACATGTGGAAAATGATGCCTCAACAGGTATTTGGTTTCTATGCAAATCTTTCCTTTTAAACTCATTCATTAAATCCTTTTGTATTCCATATAATCGGTGAAGTTCGTTAACCTGCTTGACAATACACAAGCTTAAATATATCAACAGGTTCACCAATCATGGTGCGCAGAAAGAAATTAAGCTTAACAAGACCACCCCCTAGAACCATGTTAAAAGAAAACTGTACATCTAAAAATGAGCAAGCGTAATTTTGTAACAAAGTATTGATGATAAGTTACTAAGTTATCAGTTGCCACTGCAGCAATTGAAAAGATGCATGGAAAAAACAAAATTCACAAAAAAAAAAAAATGGGCCTATCTTTTATTTTTCAATTGAATAACAAGACTCAATTCTTAAACACCCCATCCACACACGCCATACTATTCATGCTGCAGGAACAGGGATAAACAAAAAAAGTCGGAAACTGGAACTGCCATACCTGATTCTTAAATATGGCCTCATGCTCAAGCATCATCCGCTTCACAACATCCTTATCATATGCTGAACATGCATCAACATTAGCACTTGGCAGATAATTATTATAATACTGTCCATTTGTTAGTGATTTATCCCCATAAAATAAGGGCCAGCCACAACTACTAGATTCCTCATTAAGATCTCTCATCGAGTAATATCCTGGAAGATTCTGGACTTTGGTTCCCATTCCTGATAATTGATCACATTTACATGCAAATTAGTATTCCATAGCACAAATCAACATTTAAAAACACCTCACTTCATCAACTACACACCCAATCTACAAAAAATGGTCAAATATCTAGATAACACAAATCCAGACTTAATGACATAACATGGAATGATAGCACAGAATCCCAGTAAGCTGTATATCCAGAAATTTTGTTATTTCATTTTAAATTATCTTCATTAATATCACTCAAATGGTTGAGTAAACTTCTCAATAGACAAAGATTTTCTGCATTTCAATGTCCCTTTAAAAATGAGGGTATAAAAATAAAGAATATATAAAAAATAGCATGATACCAAACTGATACTAAAAGCATAATGATAAAGAGCCTACATGAGCTAAGTTTCATGGAAGATTATATGAATCAGTGCCTACTACTTTCAACACTAAAACTCAACTTTTATTATGTGGATGTACCTAATCCAATATAGGAAAGACATGACATGCATTTAAGAAAGAATTTAATTAGAAACAAGAATTTTGGAATTAGCTACATAACATGTGTGATAAATTCTAAAATGTTGTAGGACATGACATAACAATTACTACTTCAGACAAACCATAAACAGTTGAGAATTCATGTGTACCAAAAAATTTGGGGTTGGGAAGGATAGTAACACAAGAAACACCCTTGAAGATAAGACTTTATGTTGCCAACTGTATAAATGTATTACTGTTACATTATACGTGCATATTAAAGGATTGTAAGAACGTTGATCATTATTATTGCCATGAAAAACCTACAAACAACGGTCAATCAGATATTGTGGTTTAGGACCATTGACCAATATATCCCTAGTAGACTCCAACAACTTGCTAAAGATACAACAATAACCTTTAACCCTATCCTAATGCACCAATCAGATCAGAACATATAAAGTGGCCTTATTTATCCAACTTAGAAATGCTTCATAACATCGAAAACCAGGCAAATGCTATTGGCATATTTCAATATTTTTGTTATTGAAAACTTTGACCAAGAATAATAGTGGTCAACTTGGATAATTGAACATACATTTCCAAGCCTGTAACTAATCATTTTGTGGAAGCAATAACCACAGCTGCAAAACCACATTCAAAGAAGAATGGATAATGTTTATAAATTCTTTCACTCCCCTACCAAAGCAGACAACAGCTGAAACATACTCATAAAAACAGGACAAGCACAAGCAATTCCAATAAATCTTGATAAAGTAGATGACTTTCTATAATTCGAGATTTGTCGATGCTTCCAAATGCATTAAACCCATTCATACTTCACCAATTAATTTTGGGCATGAGAATTTTCTAAAATCTTTGCAAAAAATTTATGAAAAACCTGCGTCGTATGGAGCACTTACAAACCAGTCACATCATAAATTCATCCACAACATTAGGGAACACAGGCCCTTCAGTTCAATTCAGAGTCCAAAAGATTGAAGAATTAAACAAAGGAATGAACGAACGACAACACTGAATTAAACAGATCCAACACAATTATTATCTAAACCACCACAACAGTGAATGTTTTCAGCCAGAAGAAGCATTTGAAAGACAAATTAAACATCAGAAAACTCTACCAACAAATTCAAAGTAAAATTGGAAAAAAAAAATAAGAAAAACAAAAACAGCTATGCTCTGGAGTTCATTCGAATAATTCTCTAAACAACAGGAATCCCAAGGAATTTTCATCGTACTCAAAACAGAACCATTATAAAATAATAAAACCAAAATCATCAAATAAAGAAAATACATAAATAATATGTAAATTAAATAAAATATTCAGAGAGAGCATAAGTAAATTTACCTCAGACCCACATCCTCTAAACACCTTCTCTTTAGAATCTCACAGATTCTACCATTCAAGGAACCAACTCCGTCAGAGAAAAAAGAAACTCAGAGCCTTTTTGGACTGGCACTATTTGAAACCCAAAAGGGTAACTACAACTAAAACCAATAACTATTAGAGAATTTCTTTTCACACCCCCGTTTTTCCTATTTACACTCTCAAAATTTTTTGGTGTTGCTTCCGGAAATTAAATTTTAGAAGTGATTTCACTTCCAAAATTTAATTTCCGAAAGAAAATTCAATACATTTCCAAAATTGAACTTTAAAAAAAGAACTTCCGAAAATTTAGTTTCCAGAGTAATATTTCTAAAATTAATTTTTATAAAATAAAGTATGGAATGTAAAAAGAAAGGCCCTAACAATTATGAGACAAATAACAGAGTGGGTGTCGTTGCAAAGCCATTGAAGAGGCTTAGATCGTCATCAGGTAGAAGAAAAGGAGAAGATTTCGATCTGCTGGGCCAGTCACTCTCTCTCTCAGACACACACACACACACACACACACACACACAAATACACAAGGAGAAGAGAAAAATGGAGTTTTTTAGAGAGAGAACCACTTTAAGAGAGAGAGAGATCCCAGATAATAAATCTTCACACTAACAAACGACCTTCTAAGAACAGTGACATGAAATTTGTCAACATCCGGTCTCTTTTTATTCTTTGCTTTTTCATGCTCCATTCTCTCTCTCTTCCCTTCTTTACCATTTATATAAAAAATGTTTTAATTTCTAAATATTTGTTCATATTTATATCACTAACAAATGGTCATTTTTAGATTCTCTTCCCCTTGTGTGCTTTTCGCTAAGCGTATAGTATCATTTATTAATTGGATTTCTATCCTCTTGTATTATTTAATAATAATAAGACTATATAAGAGAGAGAAAAATATAAAATTTATTAAATTTAATTAATGAGTCTTATAATTAATTATAATAAATTCTTGTCAAATATTATATTATCAAACAGATAACTAAAAATGTCAATATAACCATCTTTTATTTACTTCATATACATATATGAATATATATGTAACAATTTCTTTTTATCTTTTTGGTCAAAAGTTAAAAGCTTACTTTTGAGTTGTAATTGATTTGATGTATCCACATAAGAATTAGGTTATGGGAGAAAAAAGTTTCTTCTTATCAAATTTTTATTTAATAAATATATATATGATCTAAATAATATTAAAAATAAATTTATCACTTAATTAATCTTAATTTACCACAAAATTAATTCAAAATATTTTGTTTTTCCAGAAGAAAATATGATGTTTGAAAGAAAAAAAAAATTCTAAAAGCAAAATTAGTCTACTCTTACAAGAAATTTAACTTAACAATTAACTATTGAACAAATTATTATGATATAAATAATGTCAAAAATAGATTACTGTGCAATTAACATTAATTCACAATTACATGAATCTAAATTATTTTTAAAAACAGTTTAATATTTTTATTGTATTTTACTTTTAATATATACAGAACACAAATCATGATTAAAGTGAACACGTAATTTTTTTTATTTTCATACACAGCTCACATAAAAAAATTACCAAACTTTGACACAGTAAAAATATTCAAAATAATAATAAATAAATAAAAACAAAATAATTTATATCAAATGTATAAAAAAGTAATTGACGCGATATTGTATTTTTTCAATTAATGACCTCATTTATTATTATTATCTATATGTTTATTTTTAACTTATAATTCCATTTGTTTATTTTAAATATAATATTTTAATAAAAAAATATAAACACAGATGTATTTACTAGTTATTATTATTAGACAACTTACAGAACATTTATGCCTAGAATCGTAAAGAAATGGAACTGCTCATTATTTTCTCGTAGGCTCAAATTTAAATATTTTTCTTTTTAAAGAAAAATAAATAAAAACTTTTTCTTTTTATTAAAAAATGCCAAATCCAAACCAACAGTTGCATCCTGACTCATTTATCATTTTATTGATTTGAGTGCATTTTAATTCATGTTTCAATTATTATAAATTTATATTTATTTCATTATTATTAATTATAATTTTTATGTTAAATTTATCTTTAAAATTCTTCACTATGTTTTTAAACATGTATTTATTTCTCTTTTATCATTTTTTATATTTAACCTTTTTATGCATGTAAATTTATATATAATAATTTTTACCAACTTTTTTAAATGTATCTACCGTATTACATTTTTTTAGTAAAAAAATTATTTATTCATTTTTAGTAGTTTTCAGAAAACATGCGGACGGGGAGTGCTCCGTTTGCAGCAGCGGCAAGGGAGAATAGAACTTGCAATCCCACCGTGTGGTTGGTTCCCAGGAGGCAAGAGAACAACAGTGACTATACCGGGAGAATACAGTTCTGCTTGATTCACTAGGGTTGTAAGGAGATAGCAACTGCCGGTGGAGGAGATTGAAGTGTGACGAGGGTGGCTTCACCATTTGATAATGATCTAAGCTCACTGGTGAGGCAGTGGTGGCCGATGGTGAAAGCGGAGCAACTGTGACTTCCGGGGAGGTATGGGAGATTCCCCTTTTTTATTTATTATGTATTTTTATTTGTTGCAGAACTATTAAAAGGGAATAAAGCAGAGAGTTTTATTGAGTCTGTGAGTGTTTGTTATGAGCGAGAACAATGGTAATAATAGGAGTGTGTAAAACATGTAATTTGAATCACAATACTTAGAATTGAAACGGTTTAAAATAATTGAGAAAAAGAAACTTACTTGATTTGGTTCTCCTATTTGCGTTTTGCTTCTGTTGTTCTCTCCCTTTTTTTGTTCTCTCGGGGGTTTCCTGTGAATGTGTGCTTACTTCTGTTTTCTGAAAGGTGTGTTCTCTCTATATCTTCCTCTGTGCCTTCTTTTACTTTTTTCTGACAACTTGTACTTTCTCTAATCTTTTCTTAGTTTTCTAAAACTCTCAATCAGATTCTAAGAACTTTGTGATTTTCTGCCTGTTTTTCTCTCTCACCCTTTTTATTCTCATTGACCCCTGTAATAACCTTATCATCAAGCTAATAACTTTCCTGATCTCCTTTTTTTTTAATTAAGGAAATTACGAATAAATGAAAAAAAATTCAGATAAAAGTAGGTATTTGCAATAATAATAAAATTATGTAAAATTTTTTTATCAACGATACTTTGGTGTAAATGAGACTAAAATAGTTATATTAGTTTGTCTTGAGATTTATATTGATTATATTTTTATTAAAAAAATTAGCTTTTTTTACTTTTTGAATTTTTTATATTTAAGTATTATGATACGATTTTGTTAAATTTAACTTTTAAATTTAAGTTTAAATATGTATTGATTGTACTTTATATCTATGTAATAAATACTTTATCTTTTATAAAATTTTACTAATTTTAAATGTTTAACCTTAATTCCAAGATTTGAAGTTAACAATATATATGGTATTTATATAAAAATATGCTTTTATTAACATAATCTTAAAGTATGAATTTAAACATTTAAAATTTATATTTTTTATTTAAAAATACATTCATTATATTAAAAACAAAAAATAATTAAATTTTATTTTTTAAAATTAAAACTGAGTTTAATAAAATTAGATTAAAAAAATGTAATGTGTATTTTTTTTAAATCATGAAGTGTACATATAAAAAATATATAAAATAAAGTAATTTTTCTAATACATATTTAAAATACAAAAAATTTAAAAATAAAAAATTATAAAAAATATTTATTATTTTAAATTTATAAAAAAAGTATTATTATTGTTAAAATTTTAATACAATATATTTAATATTTTTCAACGCATGTTAAGAAAATATGTGTAATATTTGAATAAAAAGTGAGATACAAAATTCAAGATATTCAGGTGAGTATGTGTTTTGATGTGCTTCCAACAAGCACAACAAACTTGACAAACCCAAACTTTTTCTAAGCTAGTTGTTAAGGTTCCATTAGGACTAATTAAGTGATTGATTAGTGTTAATTTTGTATGCCCCTCCAAAGTGTTTGAGATAAAGAGGGGGCAAAAAGTTGTCATTTTTAAGCAGTGTGTTAATTGGCTAATGGAGCAGCAGACAACAAGTGGGCCCCATCAAACTTTGGAAAAGATGAGGTTTTTTTAAGAAGGTTTGGTTATTAAAAATGCCCTTTTGGGTACCAAGGAATTACAAGAATGCTATTTAGGTGTTGAGAAAATTCCATCAATAAAATTTTTTAATATATATTTAATAATTGAATAAAATTTATTAAAAATTATAAAAATATAAAATAAACATTAAATTAATTTTTTAAAATATGTTTAAAAAAAGTATATTATTAGTTATTTTTTTGTGTTGTTGGGTGAGACACTTTTTGATTGGTGGAAGGATCCTCTTCCTTTGGCTGAGTGCATTCTGAGTACTTGGCTTTAATTGGTACCTCTTTCATTAAGAAAGAAACAAATGCAGAAGCACCATAGATTTTGATTCTCCCACACACGTGCCTACTTTTATGGTTCAACCATCTTCATTGTGCCCAAAGTTGCACAGCTTTTAATTAAATGCTTAATTAAAATTTATTGCACATTAGCCCAACAATAATTGTAATTAACTACATCAAATTTACACTATTTTTCCGTGTTAATGCAAAATGAAAATCAAGTCCAAAATTAATTTCCACATAAATAACTTTAAATATTGGGTTTAAATGTCTAAAATAATAAATTTTATTTAAAATTAAATATTTATTATATTTTTTATCTTTAATGCAATTATTTTTAATAGTTATTCAAAGGCCCAACAATAATTGTAATTAATTACATCAAGTTTACACTTTATTTTTCCAAAATGATGGAAAGCAAGTCCAAAATTAATTTCCACGTAAATCTTTCGGTTTTATAACTTTAAGTATTGGATTTAAATGTCCACACCATAATTTTATTTAAAATTAAATGGTTTATTAAAAATAAAACTAATTTTTATTTTAAATTATAAAAAAATCAATGCATATAATTTACAATAATTTAAATGATTTATTAGGATGTATTTAATCTTTTATAACACATTCTTGAATACATGTTAAAAAATTAAAATAATAAAACAAATTTTAAATTTTGTTATGTCTATAAATTTTATTGTTACTTTTATTAAAAAAATATTAAATAAATTTTATATTTTTAAATAATAAATACTTATACTTCTTAATTTAATACATGTTTTATAAGTTAACAGAATAATTATTAGAAATATTTATAAGAGAATATAACAAAACTCATATTTTTTATTAATAATTAATCGTAGATATTTTAACTCAATTTTAAGAGTTGAAAATTGGTAATATTTAATATATATTAATTTTTAAATTTTTAAATTTTTAAATTTTTAAATTTTTAAATTTTTAACATAAATTATTATATAATTTTTTATTTTATATATTTGAACAAATATTCAGAAGGATAAATTATAAATGCAAAATATAAGAAGGATGTAAGATAGAGTTTTGTGATTTCATATAAAAATAAAACTATTTTCAAAGATCAAGCTTATCCTTAGTTGAATTTAAGAAACCCATAGAGGAAGGGTTTTGGATTTGGTTAGGAATGGGAATGGGAGTGTTGGTTGCATCAAAATTTATGTAAAGATTACATTATGTTAAATTTATTGAATTGCCTTAAAAATATCAAATTCATTAATGCCTCCACCAAACAAACAGTATATTTATGTCCATATCTCTATCAATATTCACTTTTTTTTTCTCTGGATATAACACTTTTTGCCTTGCATGATACATATGTAAAAATTATATTATATATTTATCTATATATTTATATATCATTTCTTCCATTTGAAAAAAAAAATTGTTGTTTAAAATTAAGAAAATTATTAAATATTTCAATGTAGTAAAATACCAATAAATTAATTATATTATTATTTTCTTTCACTTCACTTAATACAAATTTAAAAAAGAATAAAAACTTTATTAATTTTTGAAAAAAATATTGTTAGTAATATTTTAAAAGTACTTGTGGATTATTCTTGTTTTTATATTTTAATTTAATTTTGAAATATTGAAATATTAACATATAATATTTACGAAAATCCTACATATCCTTGCTAACAACTATATATTTAAATTTTTTTTAATAATCAATTGTTTTAACAAATAAAATTCAAAATTTTTATTTAATTGTAAATAATTCAGCCTAACTTGCTTTTATGATAAATTCAGGACACTCTTAGCGTATAACTCCAATAAATAAAATTTCTGTACTTGAGTATTGTTTTTTTAAAATATGATAAATTTGTATTTTAAAGAAGTCTAACTTCTACAATTGTCCAAATTAGAAGAAGAATAGTAACATAATTTTTTTTTCCTTTAGTTAACAAGAAGAAAAAAATATCACTAAAAAATCCTATAAACACATTTAAATATGTTTTGGTTTTGTAAATTTTTCTCTGTAGTTATTAAAATATTTTTTTTCAAATCTTCTGTCCTCGTAGTAATAATAATATATATTTTATAATTTATTATTATTTTGAATTTAAATTAAACAGCTAAATTAAAAGTACAGTATTATTAATTTAAAATTTAAATAATATATTTATAAATTATGTTTGGATGAGGTAATTAATTTTTTTAAAAAAAATTAATTATTAAATTAATTATAACTAAATAAAAGTATGCATGAAACACATAATAAATAAAAATAATAAATTTAAATTCTCACCTTTTTAAATTTAAAATTGTTTAAAATTAAATATTTAAACAATAAATTTTAAATCATAAAATTATAAATACTTTAAAATATAATATTGACTTAAAATATATCATCCAAACGTGCTCTAATTTTCAAAATACTAAATTGCTTCTTTTTTTTCTAGTTTTATGAAAGAAAAATAAGTTATGCAAGAGTGACGATATGGGGTATGTAATTAGAATATGCAAGCCTATCATGTTATGAGACACAATAATCTAGATAAAACAATAAAGAAATAACAATGAGACCCTATAATCAATATACAAATGTAATTTAGGTAATGATTTTAATGTTAATGTTTTTCTTTTGGGAACAATTTTAGTGCTAGCTAGTCTTAAACATGGATAAATAAGTACCTACAAAATATATATAAAATTTGAGAGGCAAGTGATATGATTTCAGCACTTGTATAAAATTAAAACCGCAATCACTGCATCAGAATTCGCACATCTATTGGCAAACAAGGTGACATTATGCAGTGGTACCCTCTCTCATTAATCATTACAAAGCTACATTTAGTCTACCATGGGTTCAACAGCCCACATATTTATATATTCTTTAATAAATAGAAAGTCAGAAACTCATCAGAGTTACAACATTTTCAAATTTTAAAAAACTCTTACAAATCTTTCATAACATCCATAGCTTAGTGTTAGTGTGTATGAATATGATGGCATGTGTAATAAGATGAACTGATGAAGCTTGTACTTAGTATTTTCCCGTATAGATGATCATTAGAAGGATGTTTCTATTACTAGAGTTCCAAAAAATGTATGATGCATCATTATTGTGACATTCATGTAAAAGGATTTCAAACATTGATTTCATTTTACAAGAGTGTTCATGTTTATATACATCATTATTATTAATATATATTTACACTTTCAACAAGAAGTTCTTCATGCGCTCATGAATGTTGTTGCTCCTCCCATGATTAATACAAAATGATGCAATATATATGATATAATTTTTATTAAACTAACTATTGAATCATAATTATGTATTATTTTCATTAATTGTGTCAATCTTAGTAATTGAAAGTTGAGCAATTATAGAAATATAAATAACAATATTATATTTATTTGTTTTAAAAGTAAATATTAATTAATTAATTTTAACAT